TCACAAAGTAACCTGCAGGTCAGAAACAGGACGTCAAACATGTTGCATCTTTTACACTTCATGCAGGAGCATCTGGACTCTGATTGCTCACTTACCTTCTGGACACACTGGGCAGCCACCTGGGTTCACCAGGAGTTGTCCGGTGCACGGGTCAAAGGCCATCTTCAGCAGCAGACATGCGATGCTCACCTGGAACCAAGCAGACCAAACATCTGAACACCTGGACACTTGGACACCTGAACACCTGAACACCTGGACACCTGAACACCTGGACACTTGGACACCTGAACACCCGGACATCTGAACACCTGAACACCTGGACACTTGAACACCTGGACACCCGGACACCTGGACACCTGGACACCTGAACACCTAGACATCTGAACACCTGGACACCCGGACACTTGAACACCTGGACACTTGGACACCTGCTGCTGCAGACCAAAGATCTGAGGCCTTTACAGTATGTGACACAATGAGACCTTATCCAGCGCCACACATCGCCTGCACCTTTCTACTAACGAGTGTTAAGTCATCAAACACGTTGTTAGCATCTCCCATAAACCTCTCTGGTATAAGTTCTGCCTGGTGACGTTGAGTTGATTCAGTAAAGGCAGCAGCCACGTACAGAAGTTAGCCTGGTGGAAAGTCAGGACAGCAGTTTATTTAAGGTGTTGGTGTTACATCTTACAGAAGGACAGGAACGCTGACTGTTCATCTGTAATGGCCTTTTCCCTAAACCGGGTCCTAAACCTCATTACCATGGTTACCAAACAGTTTAGATCTGCGTGAGTTTCTGTAATATGACCCCAAAGATCTGGTCCCTGATAGTCTGTACTGAACCTTTGAGGAAATTTTTTCTGTCTCCTAGCAACAGCCTTCCACTGAACCTTTGAGTGATCCGCCCCCTGCATGCCAGAGGAAACCCCGCCTCCTCTGCGTGCAGCTGTCAGACCAGAGATCTGGTCTCAGTCCGCTCTGCAGCTTTAGAACTGTTTGTTTCTGTCTCTGGGCGACACTGCAGTGACCCTCAGCCTCTGCACGCAGCTGTCTGCAACACGCCACAACACATGCTGCGTTCAGGCGTCTTTCACCGCTCATAAAACCATAAAGTGATGAGTTCAGGGTCCACAGTAGACCGGGTGTAAACCACAAACCATCAGGTCTACAACAACAACTACTACTCATCAAACCCGGACCAGATTAACAAGAAGACTCTGAAATGCATTAAAACCGTCCAGACCACGTCAGACCAGGTCTACACTGAAAGCCAACAAACAGACTCCTCACACCTGGGCCAGATCAACAGGACCAGAGACAGACCTCAGATCCACCACAGCCTGGTCGTGATGTCCCAGAAGAATAAAGAAAGAGACCTTTAAAGGAAAGCCCGGGTCACCTGTCTGCACTCACCTGTAGTCCGTCCATGATGCCTTCACTATTTCACCGATCAAACTAACAAACCAACTGAATCCAGCTGGTTTTATCAGCACAGGCTGCTCCCACCTCCGCAGAGGGGGAGGAGGGCTATCCCAGCCCCCCTTCCTGTCGAGTCCTGCCCTCTGACGACACCAAGCACACCCACTGACGTCAGCAGGATTCACTCTGTGTGGCGTCAAGTTACAAAGTCATTTAACTTCCGCAGCTTCAGGTTCTCTCTGTACGTCTTCATTTATGTGTTGTTCACAGGGCGTCCAGCAGCACAGAGAAATGTCCTGCTCAGATCTTCTCAGAAAGACACTCACCATCATGCTGTTATGTTTCTACACATGTGGACGCAGTGTTAAGAGGAGGCATTGTGTGTGAAAGAAGTTAGTCACAGTTTGGTTCAGATTAAACTGAGAGTTCTGACTAACCTCTTCAGCCGTGAACAAACCCGGGGAGTATGTTTTTATTTAGCCGACGCGTTTATCCAAAGCGTCGGGCCTCTGGAGCAGCCGGGGGTTAAGTGTCTTGCTCAGGGACACGCTGGTGGATGTGTCACAGTCGGGAATTGAACCAAAGGCATGTGTCTTATCCACTGCTCCACCCCATAAATCCGTCCCGAACGCTGCTCCGTTTGTTTTTGTGTTTGTTTTGTGAGAAGCATGAAGGGAGCAACAAACTTCATGTCGTCAGAATGAGAAACAGACACACACAGTACTGTGATCCATGCTGGACTCGAACCAGTGCCTCTCCAGGCCCTGGTCTCTACTGACAGAGCAGCAGATCTCAGAGCAGCTTGATGAGCGTGAAGGTTCATGATGCTACTGCTGACATCAGCTGTTTAAAGGACAGCGTGGAGCAGGTCACATACTGGCCTCTGATGTCACTCCACGATATCTAACAAGACTGGACTGGTGTGACGAGGCTCCGACATGATCTGCATCCTCGTGTACGCACCAATCATCCTCCGCCACCCCCCCACAGAACAGACCTAGAGACTGCTCTGATGTACGGATGTCCGTAACGATGAGATGCTGTCGGCCATCCGAAGGTTTCCAGGCAGTAAAGCCTCAGCTAGTATCACAGGGAACGGGTTGAAATGAGGGAGCTGCGTCATCTTTTGGTCCTGTTCTCAGTGGTTTATTAGGTTTTTCGGTGACCCCATAGCTGATCATGGTCGCTCTGTGCAGGTGTGGTGGGCGGAGCCAGAATGACTAGAACCAGGGGCGAGTTCAACCTCAAAACGTTTCGCACCAGTTTGCAACATTTTCTGATTGAACGGCATGTTTCCTTGAAACGTTGCGCAACATTCTGCAACGGGCTTCGAGGTCTGTTTTCTCCCGCTTGGTGGGCGTGTCTCAGGTGTTACCCAATCAGCTGTGACAAGTTTGTAAACACAGCGGTGTTAAAAAGGCAGGAAAATGCAGCCCGCTTGCGTTCACAGCAGGGAGTTCAGGGAACCACCGTTTCCGTCGGGAACAACGTTTAGCTACGTTTTGTCGGCGCTGAACTCGCCCCTGGTCTAAAGGAAACCTGAAGTTGCTGAGCCGTCGTGTTTGAGGCTCCACGTGAACCGATCAGATCAATCAAACTTTATCGGCAGAGTCTGAGTGTTGCACTCTGAATAGTTGGGCAAGTTGCAGCAGTGAGGCAATACTTTACTGTATTTACTTTACTGTATTTACTTTACTGTATTTACTTCACTGTATTTACTTTACTCTTGATGTGCGATCACTTTGCACTTTACTGACCCATTGTACTAGAATCTGAAGTCCGGTTGAGCTAAAACAGCTGGGCGTGTGTGTCACCCAGTGAAACCAACCTTTTGTCCTTGTAATAAAAAATAAAGCCCATAGCAGAGCCTTGTCCTCCTTTTTTACAGCCGCTACCATCCCTTTTCAAAACCCTGAACACAGCTGGCCCCACATCGGTTTGTTCTTACCATTAACACAGAATCAGTCAACCCATTTCCAAAACGCTAAGCTTTTCTTACCCAACACCAAAACTGTGGATGTTTTTTGTGGTTGTGATGGAAATGTGATATTTTACTGTGTTTCCTGTTTCAGCCTGCATGCTTCATCAGAACAGACCAGTGTTTCACTGTCTGGTGTTTGATTAATTTATTATGTTACAGCTGGGTGAAGTTTTCCAAGGGAAAGATGCTCGTTAGAGAGTTTTCTTATCAGACTGTCCTTGATAGGCCTTCATCTCAGGACAGCTGGTCCCTTCCTCTCCTGGATAGCTGCGTAATACCCTTACAGTATAAAGTCACCTGCTTCTTCATTGGCTCTTTGTCTTGCCGCGTACTGGATGTTTTTCCCTTTTCACACCATTCTTTGTAAACCCTAGAAATGGTTGTGCGTGAAAATCCCAGTAACTGAGCAGATTGTGAAATACTCAGACCGGCCCGTCTGGCACAAATCACCTTTCTTTCCCATTCTGACATTCAGTTTGGAGTCCAGGAGATTGTCTTGACCAGGACCACACCCCTAAATGCATTGAAGCAACTGCCATGTGATTGGTTGATTAGATAATTGCATTAATGAGAAATTGAACAGGTGTTCCTAATAATCCTTTAGGTGAGTGTACGTTGTCCTTAAAAATGATGAGTGTCTGAAATAAACTACAAAATTGCGTTTGTTCTTTATTTTTTTTTGTGTGTTTTTCTTTGTTTTTTCTTAGACTTTCAGCTTAGATTGCTATTTTGATTGTACCATCTCACACGTGGATCCTTAGTTAGAATTACTGCAGATTCTCTCCGCTGTTTTGACCGGTTGAGCAGGGCTGTGTAACACGGGGTTCTCCGCTGCTAACCATTTGGGGCTTTGAACAGGGCCGTGCAGAAATACATTTTTCTCCGCTGTTTTAATTCCTTTTGGGGTTTAAACAGGGCTGTGCAGAAAAAACAAAAGAACAAAAAACTAAAAAAAAGAAACAAAAAGAGGAGCATAAAAAAAATATATATGTAAAAATAAAAAATTAAAATAATAAAGTTAAAAGACATTTAAAAAAACAGGAAAACAAGGGTTTCTCCGCTGTTCGAGCAATTTTGGAGTCTTAACAGGGCTGTGAAGAGGACTGTTTTTTTCTGCTGTCGACCGCTTTCCCCAGAGTTTGTAGCCGTAAACAATCTGGATTTACAGTGATGACTGTATCTAAGGAAAGGGTTAGAGTCCCCAAAAGACTTGTACAAGCAAAGAAGGATAGTGAAGGAGATGGGAAGTCAAACGAGCAAAATAAGCAAAGGTGAGAGACCTGATTGTTCCATCATACAATGCATGCAAAGAAATATGGTGAAGAATCACAAAAACATAGAATTATTGCTGAATAAATTCTGTTTCCTATTCAGTTTGAGGCAATTACAACAAGGTAGAAAAGTGATTATTTTTAAGGGTAAAAAGACAAAGAAGACTGGTTTTTTTTGTGTTTAAAATTTATGACTGAAAAAAATAAAACATCTATGGGACAATTTGATAAGTGGGTTGAAATGTGTTAAATGTGAGTTTTAATTCAAAAATATATATATTTGGAGCAGCTAAAGAAGAGCAGGCAGCCTTGTCCAGAGAGAGAAAGAAAACAAGCTGAAATCTACCATTTAAGGCAGATTACTATATAAACTAGAATTAAGGGAAAGTGTAAAGTCTCAAAACAGAACATTTGACTAGATAAAATAAGGATAAAAGCAAACTGTTAAAAAGACACCATAAGAACAAACTAACACATTATCTCTTCTTTAACGGAGGTACACAAGTCATGGAATCCATTCCGGCTGATCCAGTCCTGGACTCCGCTCCTCCTCCTCCGATACGCTCCAGACCCAGATCCAGCCAAGGATGAAGACTACGCTGATGTTAAAACTGCTGCTGAAACACGACACCATAAGCCAGAGAGAGATGATGAACTAATGCAACATTAAAGACCTACAGAAGCACTGTTCTGGTCCGGTAACAGTAATGCAACACATCGTATTGCCCAGTCATGGAAATGCCAATTATAAAAGGAATATTTGGTATTTGGAACATTGTTGAAGCGACGGGTCACGTGACAGCCGCACATGCAATTGGAGCAGTTTGGACCGTTTATCAAAGACTGAACACAGGCACACAGGCTGAAACACGTCTCAGGTGTGTGGAAGTTATTCACCCAGCGCTCACTGCATCTGCAGAGAAACACAGAAAGAGGTCTCTGGTGGTGATTAACAACAAGCCTCCTCCAGTTACACTTCTTTTAGATAAAGCTGCTGATAAAGTCAGACGGACAGAGACAGCTGAAAATGTTATTTTATAATCATGTTTCATTCTGACCAGTGAGAACAGCCAACATTTGTACTGGTGCTGATGGGATCCTGATAAAAACTGATCTTTCCAATAACTAGTTACAAAATGTTTGTGTTTGCTGTCAGTTACAGATGTCAGAAAGAGAGAAATCTGGTCGTGGATTTCATCAGGAAAGATTTCCTCAGCTATCTCAGCACAGCAGGAGCAAAGAAAGACAGAAACCTTCAGTCCAGAGCCTTGACCCAACCAGAGAAGGACGTCCTGCCATCACACCGCAGCAGCTACCTACAGTGGACCACAGAGTTGGTCTGGTCCTCTTGGAAAGAAAACTGTTGGTGTTTTGACAGAGTGATTAGATTTTGAGTCAGGTTTGCTGTGTTTTGATAGAGTTGGTGTTTAAAGAACAAAATGTGGTTTTGAGCATTTGGCTAATTGTGTGAGAGTAAGAGTGTCGATAAAGTTTCTTAAGTTTAGTTAAACGTTTGTCAGCAATTGAAAAAAACTGTAAACACAGGACAAGCAAGAGTTTGCAGCAGTGAGGTAAAACTTTACTCTGTTTACTTTACTTGTCAGGAGTTACGCCAGAACCCAGATGCAGACACGAAGACAATGCAGCAGTTAACAGTTTATTGAGTGGCAGGGCGTCTCCTGAGGGCTGGCGTGGCTGAGAGGGAGGGTTGGATCTCGGCTTCGAGACAACAAACGGTCAGAACGTATCTTGGTCTCTTGGTCACTGACGACCAAGGTACGTTTTAACCGTTTGTTTTTTTGGTGTAATTAACAAAGGCAGAAACCAGAAACCGGCCGTTTTCTTTCAGTTTTGGGCCCAAAACGTAAAAACAACATTCAGCTTGATTTCTTCTTTTTGTTGTTTTTTAAATCAAAAAACCTAATTCAGCACAATGTCTCGTTTTCCTCTTGAGAGAACAGAACTCATCCTGCCGTGTTTAAAGACTCATCACACCTGATCTGGTCTAGTTTTATACTCAAGACTGCCGACGTTTGAACAAATTCCTGAGTTAGAGACAGAGGATTTGCACCTTTGCAGCCACAGATTCTCCTCTATCATCCTCTCTGTACCTGATGTGAAAACTAGCCTTGATGGAAGATGCGAGCCAATAAGACTAATAATAATAATAATAATAATAATGCATTACATTTAAACAGTTCTTCAACCTTGGAAACTCAAAGCGCTGCACAGTGAAGTGGGGGGGACTCACCTCAACCAATGTGTGGCCCCCACCTGGGTGATGCACACATCATCAGTGCGCTCGTACCTTTGTGCATTGCTATAATAATAGTGTAAAAAACACCAGCTGACTGATGAGCTGCAGACTCACAGCAGAGAGGGGACGTGGACGTGGGTCACGTCTCGGTCCCGGTTTCTTTTCCTATTGATGTCTGAGGGTTTTCTTTAACCTTTTCCTTTCATGCTTAGAGAGGCTGCTGTCGGTCATTTTGAACATCAAGTCGTACGCACGATGCTTCTGAGGTGGCAGACCCAGATGAGCAGGAGCTGGGATGCTCTCTCAGCAGGGAGTCTCCGGTCACCTCGCTGTAAGGTTTGAATGGACCAGAATATGTTCCTCCATCTGTTAAACCAACCTACACAAGAGTACTGCAGTACTGTGGCAGTGATGGTACATTTCTGAATAATAATATGACCACGGTTAAACTTTTAAACCTTTATTTATCTGAAACTTGTGCATCTACATGTGGACCAGCTTTTCTTTTACAGTTAGAACAAATTTAAATGAAAACTTTAGGATTATAACATTTGAACACTTCACACTAACAGTAGGGAGACTCAGAATACTCCATAATGAAACGCTGCTGTGCCTCATGCAGCCCACCGCTGACTGTGTCCGCCTGCCTCTGCTCCTGCAGGTCCGGCAGCCCACCAGACTCCTGCAGCAACAGGTCTGTGGTAACTCCAAGGTAAACAATAAAAGCCTGTTACGTGTCTCCACAGGCAGAGGCAGCCTGCACAGCAGCCGGCCGGTCTGCGCAAACTCCACAAAGTCTTTCAGGGTCCTGGAGACCTCCTGCAGACGCCGGGATCCGAGGACGACTCCCTCCATGTGGTCCGTGACCCCGCGGCACGGTGTAAATCTTTCTTGCAGAACGCAGAACCGTCAGTGTCCATGAACAACATGTTCAACAGTCACTTTAAATGTGTCGTTCTGAAGAGTTTACTGATGTCTCAACATGAAGTCGATGCCTCAACACCACCGGATTAACATCAGCATGTTCCTGACAACATTAAATGATATTATGAAATGTTAGTCTGTCCCTCTGGTTCCTTCACAGCCCATGAGTTCATTACCATGGCGATCAGTTAATACAACGGGCTCCTCCTGGGCCCGTCAGCGAGGACTCGAACTCTGAGAACCTCACGGCCACCGTTTTCCTGGTTTCAGGTTTTCCGTTTCATAGTTAGCCAACTAACGGACACTCAAACACGACGTTTAAAGAACTGTTTCAGGTGCCGCCTTCTTCAGTTTACCTGCATCACCTCTGGGAGCAGACAGAGCTGCTGAGGCAACAGGGCCCCCGGATGGCGCACAGGGGCCACCGTTTAGGAGCTCTGTGGTACTAAACAGACCATCCTGTCCAGGGAGTGTGCCTCTATTGTGGTGGTCTGTAAAATAAATGGTGCACGGACCTGACAATAAGCTGTTTTATATAAACTGCACACCTGGATTAGTACAGGTCTGCACTGTTTTTCCGGTCCGTGTATCTTTTGGTCATTTGATTTTCCTTTTAGAAACAGCTATTAAAAAACAAAAAACAAGTGGCTATTTGATTTTTGTTGTAATATACAAAAATTTAAATTAAAATACAAAGTATTTCTCTTTTTCAGTGTCAAAAATGAACAAGTGAAATATACAAAATAATTTGAGTTTCTTTTTCTTTTTTGAATAAAATCACCGGAAAACAGAAACAGAAAAAGGCTCGTTTGTTCGTATTCTAATACCGGATGTGGTCATTTCTGTGACAAGAGCGCCAAATTTGACAGGGTACCGGTGTTGTTGTAGCCCAGAATAAAATGTCTTTAGAACATTACTCAGCTATGATTTTAGACATGGCAAAACAAGGCCAGTCATCCACAGAAATCTCAGCGCAGATATCACAAGTAAGTGGGGGAGCAAGAGGATGTTCCGCAAGAAACGTGAGGAGATTTTGCCATGAAAATGGATTAAGTTTGATGGGACTCCCCGACGCACGTTTGGAGTTGGAGGTGGCAAAAGCTGTAACTGAGGTATGATCTTGCTTTATTTCCCTTTTGCTACAGGTTGTGTGTGTGTGTGAGAAAGAGAGCGTATGAGAACGAACATGCAGTAACATGCACACACCAGTATGTCCCGCATTTCTATGTCTTATCAAATTTGACTGGCATAGTAAATAAATCACAATAAATATCCTCAGCCTTCCACTATTAATAAATACTCACAGTCAACAGAATCATCACAACACTGATACATTACAACAAAACGCAACCTGCACTGTCTAATTTCATGATATACATCAGCTGGTATGATTTTGGAACGTGAAAATACTGTTATTTCTAGACTGGACCTACATATGGAAGAAGGATGATGAAGGGGTGCATGCTGCAGAGACACGGGTTGGATCAGTGCTCAGGACAATGCATCAGCCTTACCATGAAGCAAGACGTCCGGTCTGTTACTGTCTCATCTCTAATATTTTACACAATCAAACATGTGGAATTTATGTGTAAATATGAGCTGTGTGTGTGTGTTTTGTTGTTTGTTTAGCTGTAGTTACTTGTGTAAGATTAAAAACGTACTCAAAACGTAATCAGAACAAATTATTTTCATTTTTTTGACAGATCTTCAACTGATGTAGTGTATATAGGAGTAATAGTTACATCGTTTTCCTATCTCTCTTAAGGTGCCCGCAATCTCAACCCCATACCATATCGAGCTGATTACATGGGTCACAAAGTTAATTTGGACCAAAATGAAAAACTGGGGGTCACCCATGTTTTAGCCATTGATGGCTTCAGCAAAAAGGTTGTTGCTCATTTTACAATGCCTATAAAAAACAACCTTACCATCTATGAAGATGTTTTCAGGTAATAGCCAATGTATTATTGTGGACACATGACTAGCATCAGAGAATATGTAACTATATAATAACTTTTGAACGTCTAATTATAAAGCATATTATATTGCAAATAAACAGTTAATTTGGCAGTTTTGCACAAAATAAAACTGACTTTTTCATCCAATAGGCCGGCAGTACTTGCCTATGGTATGTGGGACCAGGTGCGAGTAGATCATGGCAAGGAGTTTTATTTGACGCTCTTCATGCAGGAGTTGCTGTCATCTCACCGCCATAATCAGGAGCGAAGGCCTTATTTACAGACTTCATCCACAAGGGTACAGGGTTCCATACTTTGTTTGGTTGCTTCAGCAATACACTTGTATTATTACCACTCTTATTCTACTTGCTTCAGCAGCAGTTTTCTTGCATACATGAGACAAATTGTCATTACTATTTCTATGCTTTAGGGCAATTAAATATAAAATTAACCATCGCCAAGAACAGGTTTCTTTTATAGCTTAACAATAAATACCTGCAGAAGCAAGCACACTGGACTTAATTCAACCTTTATATTCTCGTTATGTGATGAGCATTGTGATTTTTGTTTTCTATTTGGGAAAATGCTCCTTATGCAGAATTCCTGGTAAAACTATAAATTTACTAGCTCAGCGGTCAATGTGCATAATGACTGCTGAGTTGGTAAATTTACAGATTTACTGGGAATTCTGCATGACCATTTTCCCCGAATAGACTATATGTTTTATTTACCCACCAGAACAAACTGACTGATTACACATCTTTGTTGGAAATTCAGAATCATATAATTGAACGAATCTGGCCTGAAGTCAACAATCGTGTCAACTGTCCACTGAAGACAGCACTTCTGCAGTTGGTGGATCAAGAGGAAATAGACATGAGTGACAGCCTTGTGAGATATTGTGTGTCCAACCTGACTGGCCGCTTGTGTGAGATTGGTCTTACAAGGCTGGTGGAGTCGTGGAATGCTCATCGAATCCCAGGTGAAATAAAACATCGAAGATTACAATAATTACGACAGGCATTCATCAGTTTCAAGACCAACAGTGTGTTCTTTATTTTACAGGTAAAGGTGAGGTGTCCCAAAACAACCCCACAGGAGCTGTTGCCTCATTCAGCTGAAGCAGCAACCTTTACAGCCAACAGCTGGGATCCTCACTGACCAGACATTCAACTTTTGGAGTTGATCCATTTTCAACTGAACAGGACAAGATTACAGTTGAGAACCAGTTTGCAGAGCAATATTCAGACATTTCAGACTTGTTCTCTAGAGCAGTAAACAATGACTTTGCTCCATACAAACAGGCATTGCTCTGTCTTATTTCCACAACTCAGCGCGATGTGTGAAAAGCCATTAGCTCTGTTTAACTTAGAGACTGTAAATCTGTAACAGGACCAATGAACATCGATCTGGCATCATCCAGCCCAAACATGTAAATAAATTCACATCACTACTTCAGCTCTGACCCACATTTTTTAACCTATAAAACAAACTCAAATACAACGTGGATTTTTTACCTATTTGTGGGTGTAAAAGTGCAAAATGTTACTCCTCTTCAACAAGCGATCTCAGAACAGAAAACGCCTCTGACAGACCATTAATTTCAAATATGCTGCTGCCTGCAGTGTTCCCTCTACATTTTGCACAGAGGTCTCCTGCCACTGTTCCACACATGTTTTGCAGCCAATAATGCTCCGGCAACACTGTGTGAAGACTGTGAAGGCTCCTCAATGAATTCTAAAAGACAACATGAGAAAAACTATTCATTCTGTGTGTTACTGTGTGTGTAGGTGTGTCCATACAACCTCAATGTGTTATTGATGTACTGGGTGACAATGTTTTCTTTTTACTCAGCCTAAAATGTCTTTGTTAATGTATCATTACACCATAGGCTGTCACACAAAGGTTCGCTTCAGTACATGTAAGTGATTGTAGTGGATGAGACATAGGTGACCGGGGTTAGAGAACGTAATAATTTATGTGTATTTAGAAATTTCAAATTCTGGAACACGCTACACAAAATGGATCCAAAATAAATGTTCATGTGGGACAATGACTATCTATTGTGTACTTACTCATACATACAACACAGCAGAACCCTTGCTTGATGTTCTGTAGCTGGGAAGGAGTCAGGATCACTCTTTGAGCGGCAGCTACATTGGTGAGCTCTCTGATCGCTGAAGTGACATCTGGTAGGCTCTGTGATGCCAGCACAAGCTCTTCTATCTTCTCAGTGACCTCTCCAATGCCTGCAGCATCTTCATCTTTTCGGCTGTTACAAGGAAAAAACATAATAGATGTATACTGGTTGTGTTTTAGCGGTTTTAGTAGTGGTAGCCAAATAAATCTTTGTCCCAAACACTATAGAAGCCACTAAAATACAGAAGCAGTAAAGGCCAAAGAGTTGGCAAACAGTCTGAACAACAAAGGTAAGGATAAATATAAAGAAACACAATGCATTTCAATCTTTGGACAAATAAGAGAAATATTAATACTTAAGATCACCTCATTCTCCTCCTTTTGGTGCCCTGCAACTCCTGGAAGCCCTGTTCTTGTACAGCAAGAATCTTTCGTGCATTTTGTTTCCAGCACTGTGACCCTTTACAGTGGGGGATGAAACCAGGAAAAACATTCAAACTTAGTGTTGGTTAAGTTATCATGAGTTATCGTGTCCCATCTAATTTTAAATCACAAAAGTAAAGACTTAAAAGTAACCTGTTGTTCCTTCAGACTCCAACATTGCATTCCCCTGCGCATCAGTCAATACCACGGGGTCATGACTTCCAACGGCATCTTGCACTTTTCCCATGATCCCCTGAAGGGTAGCCTCACATTCTAAAACCGGACCACCACCATTCTGCTGGGACTCAACCTCCCACCAACCACCTCAGCAAGAGAAATCGATCTGGAAGAATATCATATTAAAATAATCGTTACGAGACACACGGCATTCATAATCCTAGTAGTGGTTAATAGTCTTATGTATTTTGTATATCAACAATAACTGTAAAATGCGCTCAGGTTGTTCTTGTTGTATCTTTGACTGGTGTGAGGATGTAATCATCTCTTCCTTGGCTCAGGACCAAACAATAAACAAAGTCCCATTTAAATACATTCATAACATTTTGCATAAGCTTGCTGACAAACACACACTGCAAAAACACAACCCCCGCCACTTTCTGGGCAGAGGTTATGAAAGTCAGGGGGAAATGTTAAAATGTTCAGAATAATGTAAATGAAATGTACAACTATTACACTACAGCTACAAAGAGTGAAAGAATGGCAACTGAAGTTGATCATATCAAATGTGAAGTAGGTGTTTTGCAATTATATCTAACTATTTTTAATACTTCCAATCCTGTAATTTGTCCATTTAAAATGATAAATCGTATCACCGTTATTTAATGTTTTAGAGACAGTGGCTCTGGAGGGCGCTGAGGCAGCCCGCTGCGCAGCTGGACTACAAGTAGTCGCAGGTGTTCGCATGAACGTGAAACGTTGAGCTGTGGTATTTGAAGCTGATGAGGTGTCGTCCTCCTCACCGTGAACCTCAGAGTGAGCTCTTGGAGTAAGGTCCAATGTGCTGAAAACACCAGAGGCTCCAGGAAAAATTGCCAGTCATGTAGAGACTATGAGTTGAGACCTGTCAAGAAATTCATACGTCAAATAACCGCAAGTGTTTATTTCCAACCATTTCTCAATAAATATTTTTCAGTGACTACTGGGAGGTAACTTATTAAAATGCTAATGTTAACGTTAAATCTGTAAGTGACTAGATAGCGTTGCATATAACGTTAACGATAATAGATCATTCAAAACAAGGCGTAGCTACTTCTGACTGTTAGTCAACACCTCCACTAACTTTAATGGGGGCGCTTATTGGCGCTCTTGTCACGTAAATGACCACATCCGGTCTCGGAATATGAACAAACGAGCCTTTTTTCGTTTTCTCTTTTAAAGTAATTTTATTTTTTGTTACCTGAAATAGAAAATGAAACTCAAATTATTTTTAAAATATCACTCATTCATTTTTGACACTGAAAAAGAGAAATACTTTGTATTTTAATTTTAATGTTTGTATGTTAAAACAAAAATCAAATAGCCACTTGTTTTTTGTTTTTTAATACCTGTTTCTAAAAGGAAAATCAAATGACCAAAAGATACACGGACCAAAAAAACAATAAACAACTTGTTTTTTTGGTTTTAAAACAGAAAAAAAACAATAAACGACTTGGTTTTTTGGTTTTGAAAGGGAAAAAACAATAAACAAAACAATAAACAACTTGGTTTTTTGGTTTTAAAACAGGAAAAACAACAAACGACTTGGTTTTTGGTTTTGAAAGGGAAAAAACAATAAACAAAACAACAAACGACTTGGTTATTTGGTTTTAAAACCGGAAAACACAACAAACGACTTGGTTTTTGGTTTTAAAACAGGAAAAAACAACAAACGACTTGGTTATTTGGTTTTAAAACAGGAAAAAACAATAAACGACTTGGTTTTTTGGTTTTAAAACAGGAAAAAACAACAAACGACTTGGTTTTTTGGTTTTAAAACAGGAAAAAACAACAAACGACTTGGTTATTTGGTTTTAAAACAGGAAAAAACAATAAACAACTTGGTTATTTGGTTTTAAAACAGGAAAAAACAATAAACAACTTGGTTTTTTGGTTTTAAAACAGAAAAAAAACAATAAACAACTTGGTTTTTTTGGTTTTAAAACAGGAAAAAACAATAAACAACTTGGTTTTTTGGTTTTAAAACAGAAAAAAAACAATAAACAACTTGGTTTTTTGGTTTTAAAACAGGAAAAGACAACAAACGACTTGGTTTTTGGTTTTGAAACGGAATAAAGAAAGAATGAACTGTGAACGAACTGTGTTCAGAATCTTACACTGACGATGTGTCGTGCTTTTGTAGCATTTTTTCAAGGAACAATTATTAAATTAACAAACAATAATATGATCATATTTCAGTCATCCAAACAGCCCTTATTTAAATGACGTATTAGTCATTACCTCTCTCTCTCTCTACAGTATTTACTCAGCTTGTTTCCACACAGATTTTCACGTGTTGGATTACTGTAACGCCGTTTTAGCCAGAGTTTCTAAAACCACAATCAACAAACTGCAATATGTTCAGAGCTCTGCTGCCCAGATCCTGACGGGAACCAGGACACTGGCGAGGCGCTTACACGACTCCACAATACCTCTCTGGCTTATCAACCCCTTACAGCCCAAATCCAGACTGCGCTCCTCAATCTGTCCCACAATGCACCTCAAATCTGTGGCTGACTCCCTCTCTGCCTCCTGAACTTTAAAGCTCTTCTCAAGACACACTTTGTTAAACTTGCCTTCTGCTGCTGACGTCTTTTATGATTGTTTTACAGTTATTTTTATTAGTAATGTTGTTGATTTTGTTCTTTTATTTTATGTTCAGCGCTTTGAGACGCTGCTTTTAAAGGCGCTCTATAAAATAAGGTCTATTAATGTTCCTCGCCTGTTCCCACGGCCGGCTCCTCACACATGGACGCTGCTCAAGGGTCAAACGCACTGCGGGGCCCTGTGACGTCACAGGTCAGTGACCTGCAGCGTTGTATGAGATGGTGAGGACAGAACTCGGACTTTGAACCGGGAGAGCGGGGTTCGAGTCCCGAGTCAAGCTTAGAGTCAACATTAAATAATTTTTATTTAGGTTAGGCCTTTTACGTAAGGTGACGTTAGTTAACTGACGTAGGCAGTTATTTAAACCCGCACCATGATCTTTCCTGACCTGAACCAAGTAGATTTGAAAGGCGACCCAAAGGGCCCCGAGCCGGCTCATGAGGGAGCAGGGTTGGTGCATGATGTGGGCCTCGCTGTGCTGCAGGGGGGACGGGGTGCAGAGGTGGGCCTGCAGGGGGCAGTAGGCGGCACCGTGGTGCACAGAGAGGCCCGGGAGCAGCAAAGGAAGAGGAGGAGGAGGAAGAGGAAGAGGAGGGTCGGCGCTGTTAGCACGGTGAGGACCGCTCCAGGTCTTTAAACTTCATGTTCTCTGTCTCTCTGTCTGTGTGTCAGCAGCGGCTCGGCTCGGCTCGGCTCGGCTCTCTAACAGTGTTAGCGCAGGTGCAGCTGCGAGCTCGCGCCTGAAACGCCCTGCTGCGGTTAGCCTCTCTCCTGCTAGCTGTTAGCATTTAGTCCGAAGGTAAATACGCTTCCATTATCGGACACGCCCTCCTCCGGGGGCCTCCTGTCCGCGGACTGACCCCCCACCCCCCCCGCAGCCTGCCCTGTCGTTATCACCGTGTTTACATGTGACCCAGTCAGTCAGTCCGAACTCACAGAAACCCAAAACCCCGGCCACCAGGGTCGTGGGCTGCGAGGACCGGTCCAAGTCCGCTACCGCCAAACTCCATTCTCAAAACAGCATATTAAGAGTTTTCTGTCCTACCGTTTAACCTGGAGCATTTCTGACGGCTCTGGGTTAATGTCGTGTTTCCTTTTATTAATTCGGCTTGTATCATAAGTGTGGCCAGACTGCAGAACCTGCCTTTATAACACTGTCTGTGCTCAGTGGACGGGCTGACCCAGCTCGCTGTAATCACCGCGCTGTGTTCGGTACCAGGAGGTCGAGATTCAGATCTTTAAAAGTTCAAAGTTCGTCCCAATAAGGACTGATGATGCATCTGAGTCACGCCGAATTAAAAAGTAACAGATGAGTGTTGATGAATCATGTCGGATGTGTTCCTGCGAGGCTTGTTTATGTGCCGTGAAGAGGAGAAACCTTAAAGTGCCTGGTTTTTCTACGGAGTCTGGCGTGCATGTGACGCAGACTCCAGCTGTAAACAAAACAAAGTGTTGCTTCATCCCTCAGGCGGCCTGAAGTTAATTAATAACTGTTTGATATTTTACTCTGAGACTGATCACACTCAAGAACAAGTCATGTTTATGGTCGTGTTTGGTCATCAGGTTACCGTGGAGACCGCCGTCCCCAGACAGGTCCACGCCGAGGTTGCCATGGCGAACAAGGCGGAGCTGCACGCCTCAGACCACACCCCCTCCGCCGAGGAAGAGCTGCCTAAGCCCGCCGCACGCCGCCCCCGCCGCAGGGCCGCCGCCCCCTTAAGCAGGCGGGGTCAGAGAGGGAAGAGGCGGGGCCCCGCGGAGAAAAGGCGGGGCCCCGGCGAGAAGAGGCGCGGCCCCAAGGAGAAGAGGCGGGGCCAGGAGGAGAAGAAGAAGGAGGGCGTGACGGTGAAGAGGACGTGCAGCGACGGGAAGCGGCGCTGGGACAAGAAGCACTACTGCGTTTTCTGCCGCCGGCCGCAGGTAAAGATCGCTCGCCACCTGCTGAGGAAGCACGCCGACCAGCAGGAAGTGGTGGCCGCCAGCACGCTGCCGACGGGCTCCAAACAACGCCACCTGCTGCTGGAGCACCTGCGCTGCAGGGGCAACTACCTGCACAACATCGAGGTCCGTTCACCTGTTCACTGTTTGTTTACCTGTTTGTTTACCTGTTTGTTTACTTGTTTGTTTACTTGTTTACCTTCAGTCTGAAACACAGTACAACCTTTTGAGATTTCCTGCAGAAGAGAACAGGTGGTTTCAGGGTTTGACCCTGAACTGTGACGTGTCGGTTCAGTCAGTTTTCAAAATAAAACACCCTGTGCAGAGTCCCGATCGTAAATAAACAATAAATAAACACGGTTAAAACAGAAGAAAAAATAAACAATGTAACTATGTAGCTACAAAATCTAAACATGTCAGCAAAATCAGGCAGAGCGCTCTTATTCTGAAAGGCTCCCTGTGGGAGATGCAGTCTGCAGAGCAGGTCCTTGTACATGGGGGGACGTTTACGACCAGACTGAAAGTTGCTGCTAATATATTTCACCACAAACTTTCACCGTCATGTTTTCTCCCTAATTTAAAGAAAGCGTCAAGCGGTGCAGCAGTCAGTCCTAGAGAACAGGACAGAAAGGATCTTCTGATGTCTCATTTCACATCACGACAGAACTCACTTTCTAAGTGCTGCTCGCTCACATGCGTCTCCGCCATTACACAAACTGTGTGCAGCCAATCAGATCAGTCTGTTCACTTTTTAAGGGCCATGGCCGTGACCAGGTAGGGAAGTCCAGTTGTTATTTGTGATAATTCAGTGAACCAGTACATACAGAAAGAGTAGTGATCAGGTAGTGCACATGAGACAGGAAGCCTTGGTATAGGCCTGCTAATCCTCACAGCATGTATTACCGGTGTAACAGGGCAGCTACGGTGTGGGTGTTACCCATGATGCACTACACGTGGAATCCATACCTGTAGGAAATGACAGAGCAGCTTAAATATATCTCACATGAAGGCTCCAGCTGTCATCACAGGCAGTGTTGGGGAGTAACTAATAAGCTACAAGTTCAGTACTAAATAAAGTGTAATCCATGTGTAATAAAAGTACAGTTCCTTATGAAAGAAACATCTGAATCTTTCCTGTAAAAAGCTCGGCTGTGTGTTGAATAACACTCATTTTGTTGCTTTGCATGTTCTTCCTTTGTCGTTTGCAGCCGCAGTGTTTAGGATGCTGCTGATTGGTTCTTGTGTTTTGAATTTCCTGAAACGCCCGCCTTCCAGCCTCTCAAGCTGTCATTTGATAATGGTTAAAACTGATGATGCACGGGTAGAGGTCGACCGATATGGTTTTTTTCACGCCGATACCGATCTTTTGAAATCCGGGTCGGCCGATGGCCGATTAATGCTGCCGATTTATTTTGGCTGATATTTGGCCGATATTTGCTTGGTTTTTAACCTCTATTTGCACCGAACTGAAGCACAGAAATCCGCGTTGATATTCGGTGCGGTAGATAACGGTCGTTAAGGTTCCAGTGCCGTATTAGCACCGGGTCTGTCTGTAGCTACCCGTTAGCAAAGCAAAGCCAGTCTGTCACTAGCCTATAGTGCGTTGGTCTCTCACTTATTTCTCTGCATTGAGTGACAACCCTCTCAAATATAAGACACACAAACAGAACAAATAAAAGTCTCAGATTCACTCTGTAGTTGCAAAATTATTGCTTACTTATTGTGACATGATAGCAACTCTTCTGTGATAATGCAACTTCAACTACGATCCAAATTAGCCGAATGTCATGTGTCTTATTCAGGTTTTTTCTCTAAGTTGGCAGTAACATATCAAAAGTTTTTAATTAAATATAAAGGAGTAATAAGAATTGAATCCTTACCGTTAGCTCCTTAGGCACTGGATGAGGTCTGCTGCTCACTCGGCTGGAAAATGACTCTAGCGGCAGCGCGCGTCAAACACGTGTTCCACGACAACACTAGGCTGCCCACAGATGCGCCTGCCAAATAATCGGCTTGATATACTTGGATATTGGCCGATGCCGATTATGTTAAAAAATGCCAAAAATCGGCCGATTAATCGGTCGACCTCTATGCACGGGGCAACTTTTTGAGCAATGTTGCTGGTAACGTTAATGCAAGAACGATGTTTCCTTTGGAGAGTTTCTTCTGTCTGTCAAGTTTATAACTGCAGCTGTTACTTTTGCTGCTTAAATTTGCTGTGACTATTTACTGTGTGCATAGACACGTTTAAAATGACAAGTTGAAATGAGGGTTGTGGGTTTCCACAGCGTAAAAAGCTGCGTCCGCATGGTCCTAAAGCCTTCATTAGAGTTGATCAGTGTTTTTATTGATTTAAAGATAAATAGTCTACATATAATTACGGAGGTCCAGACTTTGCATGTGTACCTCAAGTTATTAAAAACACTTCAGATAGTCCCGAGTAACGAACTGATCCAACAGGACTTAGATTCAGACTCAGGGTTTGTTGCCACGGTAACTGACCCACAGTTTAAGTTAGCTGTCTTTCCTGAACAGCAAAGGTTCCCCCGTCTCAGGGTTGACTGACTCAGAGTCTGAAACAGGATCGTTAGCAGCTGCTTGTTGTTGTAAATCAAACTGTACTCCCAGGTGTGGGAAGTGTCCGTAGTGCAAAGTATTAATTATAATTTTCAGAAAAGCTCTCTTCCTCCTGTAAGACATGTAATTCATTAGGGGCGTAGCGCCTCTGGGGAAACGCTGGCGGTGTACCTGACTGCCTGTCTGGCCCTCAGGTGATCAGACAGGGCACAGGTGAGATCGTCCCGTGGCGTCAGCCCTCAGAGGAAGTGGATCCCAGGAACTACCTTCCCTGCCCGCTTTGCCTCGGCTTCTTCCTTCGCGCTGACCTCTGGAAACACCAGGCCTTCTGTCGTAAGAAGCTGACCTCTGACCCCTCCAAAGACCCCGCCTCCAAAGCAGAGACCACCTCTGACCCCGTGAAGGACGCAACCTCTGACTCCACAGGTAAGGCGGCCTCTGATCCGGCAGACGACAGGACCTCCAAGTCCACAGAGGACACACCTTCTGACCCCTTAGAAGACACAAGCACAGCAGATCAGACTGGGACCAAACGGCCCTTGACCTCTGACCCCGGTGTGGACCAGAACGTGAGCGCTAACCCTGGGGCGGACCGACCCAAGAAGCGCATCAGGGTCCAGGCTGCAGCGTCTCGCCTCCTGCCGATTTCCAGTGGAGCCTCAGAGAGCTGCAGCGAAGTCCTGCACCGCATGAACCAGGACCATGTCTCACACCAGGTCTGTACACTTCTTGACAACCCGTCTGTCTACCTGTCTGTCTCTGTACCTGTCTCTGTGTTGACCTGTGTCTTCCTCGCTCTGTCCAGGTGAAATCTGATTGGTTGATTTGTAAATATGGAAACAAGTTGATGGGGAACCAGGATGGCAGCCAGAGGAGGTACGACTACGTCAGTCAGAAGCTGAGGGAGCTGGGCAGGTTGCTCCTGGCTGCTAAATCTCTGGACTCCAGCATTCAGACCCTCCAGGACCTCCTGGCTCCGGGTTGCCTCAGCCTGGCGTTGGCGGCTGCCAGAAAGGCATCCGGATACCGGTGGAGCCGCCCTCCGCTGGTGGTGAAGACGACGCTAAAAACAGTTTGTGAGATTGCCATCGGAGAGAGTCTGCAGGACGGAGACTGGGAGGCTGCAGCCAAGACCACCGAGTTTTACCACCTGCTGGGGAGGGACTGGGACAACCTGGGGCTGCTGAACCCTGATCCCGACACAGGTAACACCTGAGGCAACCTTGAACCTTGTCCTAAGAGAAACCATTTCTGTGACTCTGGTCTCTGACAGGGTTCAGGACTTACAGCTCATTAGAGTCATTTAGGCTTGATAACTATCCCCATCAGGAGCCATTAGAAGAACTTAATCCATCCACCAAACCTCTTTGTTTTTGCTAGCTGCTCCAGTTGGAGGAGCGAAGCCGAAGAAACGATTGGTCCAATCAAGAAATGAGAAGGAGTGTAAAGAGCCCGGTGAAGAGCAGTCCGACCCAAGACCAGAGGGTGAGTCCTGATCTACCACTATTCTTGACTACTTATCATAAACCTGACCACTGATTATACCAGGGGTGCAAACTTTGTTCTCTCCTGCTGAGTTTGCATCCCTAACCAAGAATCTGAGTCCAGTATGTGCTTCATGCACAGAATATTCACTAGATGGTGCTGTTTGACCTTGTTGTCTGTCTTTACCGGTCTGTAGTTCCGTCACAGAGCAGTAACAGACCAGTCACCTCCATAATTCCACCAGAGGCCAGACTGCAGACTCCTATCACAGGTAGGTCCTGCCTGGATAACATGTGTTTAGGAGGTCTACCTGCGTTGTCTTATCTACTTTTTGTCTGTCTTTCAGTCCCGGTGGCTCCAAGAAAGGTCCAGCGTCGCCCATGGTCGTCTGCAGAGAAGGAGGCGGTCTGGAGACAGTTGGGAGTCCACGTATTGGTCCAGTCAGTACCGGGGAAGGAGGTCTGTCAGCGGTGTCTTGACCTGGAGCCCGTTCTCAGAGGGCGACACTGGAAAGATGTCAAAAACCAGGTCCACAACCAGATCCAGAGCCAGAAGAAGCAACAGTTCCACGCCCAGATGGACCTTCAGGAGAACCAGGATCAACAAGACCAAATCCAAAATCAGAAGAAACAGCAGCATTACCAGGCTGAAATGCACCAACAGGACAAGGACAGCAGTCAGAATAAGAAGAAACAGCAGTACCTGCCCCAGATGGACCCCCAGGAGACTATTCAGAATCACAAGAAACAGCAGTACCTGCCCCAGATGGACCCCCAGGAGACTATTCAGAATCACAAGAAACAGCAGTACCTGCCCCAGATGGACCCCCAGGAGACCATTCAGAATCACAAGAAACAGCAGTACCTGCCCCAGATGGACCCCCAGGATACCATTCAGAATCACAAGAAACAGCAGTACCTTCCCCAGATGGACCCCCAGGAGACCATTCAGAATCACAAGAAACAGCAGTACCTTCCCCAGATGGACCCCCAGGAGACCATTCAGAATCACAAGAAACAGCAGTACCTTCCCCAGATGGACCCCCAGGAGACCATTCAGAATCACAAGAAACAGCAGTACCTTCCCCAGATGGACCCCCAGGATACCATTCAGAATCACAAGAAACTGCAGTACCATACTCAGATGGACCACCAGGACCACCTTCAAATTCACAAAAAGCAGCTGTGTCATGGTAGACTAGACCCCCAGGACCATATTCAGATACATAAGAAGCAGCTGTACCAAATGGACGCGCAGACCCAGGCACTGCAGACCACCCTGGATCGGGACACTTCTATTCTGACGGGTACACCATATGGACCTGACGGGCCACATCGAGTCCCTGGACAGTCATTGCTGGAGCGGGACCCTACCATCAGTCCATACCCACTTCCACATAGGACCCTGGGCCCTCACATGGACCAGTTGCTGTCCAGAACAGAGTGGACTGACGAGTCTTTGGCCCAGCACTACTCGCTCAGCAGGCATCTGGACAGGAACCTGCTCCCGGATGCGCCCACAGGAGGACCACCGCCCAATCCACACTCTGGACATGTTCACTTCTGATGGGCCGGCCCACAGGGGCCCTCAGCATTAATGACTGTATTAGATAAGGTAGCAGAAGGCCTCTTTAAGCCATCTGGTACAAGTCCCTGAACTTCCTAAAGTCTACCTTCTGAACCAGAGGAACCCCACGACCTGTAACTTCAGGTGTTACGTTTAAAAGAACAACTGCACTCTCTTACCAAACAGAACCTGCTGTATACAACACATAGGAACCCGTAGGGGGAACCTAGAACCTCACAGACTCAGGTTATGAGCATCTCCAGGTGACAGGTTGGTCAGTTCCTGTAGTGGACAGCAGCTAAACCACTACAGACCTGTCTGCTTGGTGGAGGGAGTCGAAGAAAGAAAGTCCACTATGTGTAAAAGGTTATATATTTACAGGTCTGCCTTTAGTAGCACTTGATCCAATCACCATCCAGTATTATTGTTGTTGTCATGTTCCTTTGTGTATTCTCACTCATGACTACCAGCTTTCTGCCCCTGAACCGAGGCCTGGACTACGAAGGGAGTGTAACCTACTCAGATTTAACTCGGGGGTGACGAACTCTGCCTGCTACACTGGTGTTAAACTGTGACGGTGAATAAGAAGTTGGGTCGCTGTAAACTGAACTGGTGCACGTTCACTGAAAATCGACATTTTGGGCCGTGCAGGCAGAGTTTGTTCACGCCGCATGCTCCGTATTTTCCCCAGAACAAGACCTGGTGATTGTGTCAGGATATGAGGAGGTAAAATATGTGAAAACATTTATGCAGATGGGCTACAGCCCAGAAACTGGCTCTGACATGAATAAAGATCTCCTCCCTACATGCTGAGGCTGCAGGGTTAACGTGTTGAGGATAAGTTCATTTCAGCTGTGTAGCCCACCTACACAGGGTAACCTCGAGTTAACCACGAAGATAACCTGCTGGGAGCACTTTAGAGATGCAGCGTGACAGCAGACCTCAGGTAACACCTGTCCCCCTCTTGTAGTACGGGTTAATCAGGAGGTTACTCCTGCAGTTTCCTGGATAAGTTACCTGCTTCGTAGTACAGGCCTCAGGTGTTTCGTGTCCAGTGTGTTCAGGTCTGGACTTTGTATTTATCACCAGTAGATGGCAGCGTTCTCACTGACTCACTAAATATTTAAGCTTTCTACAGAAGTATAAAAGCATTTTCCAGACTGGCGTCTGCGTTCTTTCTTTCTGACCCCTCATGCATCACATTAGAGGTCCTCACAGGTCCACGAGTCAGAGCCCGAGTCGGGTTCTGGTAGAGAGGAGAAACCACAACTAGAGTTAGAGCAGGCAGCAGTAAACAACCAAACAGGAGGTCAGAGGAGAGAGGCTGTGAACAGGGAGAGGAGTGATCAGGACGCAGGTCCACTGAACATGATGTGGTGATTCTGCAGAGGACAGAAGATATTTATGCTTTATTCAGTGATCAAACCGGCTGCTAATGTTAGAATAATAATAATAATATGTCTCCAGGTCTACTGAGGTCTGTTCTTTGAATAATGTTGCTGCTGCTGTTTACCTGAACTCAGCTCAGGTGTGTGGTGCGCCCCCTGCTGGAGGCCTCATGTAACTACAGCCCAGAAAGCACAACACAGAGTTAACCCTGAACTATGGAGAACCACTACTAACGTCCCTCATGATGAAGGTCCTGCAGAGACTCCTCTCAGACTGGTTCTGCTTTGATCACTGATAAGACCCGATCAGGAAGCAGCCTGTCTGCACGCTCCACCAGAGTTTAAAACATAAACATGCCCGTTTGATGTGTTTGGATTCAAAGAGTAAATGCAGACTCAGACCTCAGGTGAACACCTCCCGAGCTGGGACGCCATCGTGTACCTGGACACGGCTCTGTGAGGATCATGGTCTTTAACCGCTGCAGGAGGAGCTGAGGTCTCACCTGAACCTCTTCAGACCTCTGTCAGCTGCTGAACTCAGGTGAGTCAGAGAGGTGGATCACAGAGGGCTGGGAGACCTCTTTGTGGCCCGGGCCAGGGGGTCACTGAGAACGAGCCTAAAAGATCCTTAAACAGGGTTTTAAAGATTTCCTCAGCATGAGCAGGGGGTCTGGAGCAAAGTGGGAAATTTACACTTATATAACACTTTGTTTCCTGCAGTCTGGTGAACGTTTCTGCACCAGTTCGTGGTGGAAATGTTTTTATTTATGAAAAGGAAACAGAGTTCAGGCAGCAGGAGACATTTCAAAATCTATAAATCTACCAGAATGTAAGTGAGAGCAGCTCCGGGTCTTTCTGTGCTGCTCTCAGATCTGTTTCTCCTGCTGAGGCAGCACATGTAGGATTTATTCTCCCCTCTGTTGTCATGTTCACAGGGACAGAGCGGAAAACTTGGCCAGAGAGAAACTGTGACAGCGAGGTGTAAAAGTTACTGACAGCTTGTTTCTTCAGCTTACTTTACTTTTTTTTTCTTAATGTGTGTCTACAAGCATTTTCATTTGTTATTTAACTACAAGCTATATTTCAGTGGAGGAGCAGGAGGAGCAGGAGGAGCAGGAGGGCCACAGGTACCTGGGTGTGCAGGACAGGACAGACTCTCTCCCTGAGGAAGTCTGGAAGGGCTTAAATTAATTATTACTCCTCTAAATGTGCATTTATTATAGTTATTTATTCACATTTGTGTGATTTTATTTTATTTAAATATATCATTATTATTATTATTATTATTATTATCTTTATGAGTGCAGCTCACGTGCTCTGCCCCTCAGGTGCATCAGACCCTTTCTCATAGGCCGGGGAGAAACACGTGAGTGTCGTCATCTCACTCGCTCGTGCACGCACACATTCAAGGCAGGGGGCGGGGTCTGTCGCCGTGCAGCTCCTCTGTGATTGGCGGGGTGAGGGGAGCAGGTGTGACGTCAGACGGTGTTTAGGGGAGGAGGAGGTAGACCGCAGCGACGGCGACCTGTCTCACCCTCTGTCTCTGTCTCTGTCTCACCCTCTGTCGGTCTCTCCGTGCGGATCGATTCTCGGACTCTGCCCGGTGTCAAACATTAAAGCAGCGGCGGCGGCGGCGGGCTCGTGCCATCCACAGCGGGAACAGCGCAGCGACCTCCATCCTCTTCATCCTCTTCATCCTCTCCATCATCATGTCCGGCACCAAGGAGGAGGACCGCAAAGGCTCGAGCCAGTGGCGCGAGTTCTTCTGGAACCCGCGGACCCACGAGCTGATGGGCCGAACCGCCTCGAGCTGGGGTGAGTCCGGGACTCCGGTCCGGTCCACGGTCCGAGTCCGTCTCTCTCTCTGGCTGTTAGTGAAGGCCTCTCTCCCTCTGCTATATTTAGATCATCTTTACTGACACGAGCTCAAACACACGTTATTAATTATTAATATATCTCTGTGTCTGTCAGGGTCTCTCTACCTCTCTCTCTCTCTCTGTCTCCGTCAGGCTCTCTCTACCTCTCTCTCTCTCTGTCTCCGTCAGGCTCTCTCTACCTCTCTCTCTCTCTCCGTCAGGGTCTCTCTACCTCTCTCTCTCTGTCTGTCAGGGTCTCTCTCTACCTCTCTCTCTCTGTCTGTCAGGGTCTCTCTCTACCTCTCTCTCTCTCTCTCTGTCAGGGTCTCTCTACCCCTCTCTCTCTCTCTCCGTCAGGGTCTCTCTCCCTCTCTCTCTCTGTGTGTCTGTCAGGGTCTCTCTACCTCTCTCTCTCTCTGTGTCTCCGTCAGGGTCTCTCTACCTCTCTCTCTCCCTCTCTCTCTGTATACGTCAGGCTCTCTCTACCTCTCTCTCTCTCTCTCTGTCAGGGTCTCTCTACCTCTCTCTCTCTCTCTGTCTGTCAGGGTCTCTCTACCTCTCTCTCTCTCTCTGTCAGGGTCTCTCTACCTCTCTCTCTCTCTCTGTCTCCGTCAGGCTCTCTCTCTCTGTCTCCGTCAGGCTCTCTCTCTCTGTCTCTGTCAGGCTCTCTCTACCCTCTCTCTCTCTCTCTCTGTCTCCGTCAGGCTCTCTCTCTCTCTGTCTCCGTCAGGCTCTCTCTCTCTGTCTCTGTCAGGCTCTCTCTACCCCTCTCTCTCTCTCTCTCTGTCTCCGTCAGGCTCTCTCTCTCTCTGTCTCCGTCAGGCTCTCTCTCTCTGTCTCTGTCAGGCTCTCTCTACCCCTCTCTCTCTCTCTCTCTGTCTCTGTCAGGCTCTCTCTCTCTGTCTCCGTCAGGCTCTCTCAACCCCTCTCTCTCTCTGTCTCCGTCAGGCTCTCTCTCTCTCTGTCTCCGTCAGGCTCTCTCTCTCTCTGTCTCCGTCAGGCTCTCTCTCTCTGTCTCCGTCAGGCTCTCTCTCTCTCTGTCTCCGTCAGGCTCTCTCTCTCTGTCTCCGTCAGGCTCTCTCAACCCCTCTCTCTCTCTGTCTCCGTCAGGCTCTCTCTCTCTCTGTCTCCGTCAGGCTCTCTCTCTCTCTGTCTCCGTCAGGCTCTCTCTCTCTGTCTCTGTCAGGCTCTCTCTACCCCTCTCTCTCTCTCTCTCTGTCTCCGTCAGGCTCTCTCTCTCTCTGTCTCCGTCAGGCTCTCTCTCTCTGTCTCTGTCAGGCTCTCTCTACCCTCTCTCTCTCTCTCTCTGTCTCTGTCAGGCTCTCTCTCTCTGTCTCCGTCAGGCTCTCTCAACCCCTCTCTCTCTCTGTCTCCGTCAGGCTCTCTCTCTCTCTGTCTCCGTCAGGCTCTCTCTCTCTCTGTCTCCGTCAGGCTCTCTCTCTCTGTCTCCGTCAGGCTCTCTCTCTCTCTGTCTCCGTCAGGCTCTCTCTCTCTGTCTCCGTCAGGCTCTCTCAACCCCTCTCTCTCTCTGTCTCCGTCAGGCTCTCTCTCTCTCTGTCTCCGTCAGGCTCTCTCTCTCTCTGTCTCCGTCAGGCTCTCTCTCTCTGTCTCCGTCAGGCTCTCTCTACCCCTCTCTCTCTCTCTCTGTCTCCGTCAGGCTCTCTCTCTCTCTGTCTCCGTCAGGCTCTCTCTACCCCCCCCCCTCTCTGTCAGCACCTGAGTTAATGTCTGATTAATCCATCGGTGGATGATAATGGACAGTTTGGTTGAAGAGAGGGTTATATAAGTCTTCTGTACAGGAACACGAACATGTCCTCTCTGTGGTTTAAAGCTGTCTCAGTTTAGCAGATCTGAGTGAGTCCTGATCCAGTTTAATGTCCTGAATAATTTCCTGCAGACTTATTGAGCTGTGAAGACGTGTCTTCCTGCCAGAACATGCACACTAAACACAGCTCTGTCAGACTGCAGAGATCAGCTGTTACCCAGACCGGCAGATGTGAGCTGGTACCACCTCAGATCCACCTGTTCAGGTGTGCCAGGCTGTTTAAAGGTAACCCTCAAATTCAGCTGGAGGCCTGATGAAACGCTACAAGAAGCCAGCAGGAGAGACAGCCAATCACAGAGCTTCGCCTTCAGCGTTGATGACATGAAAATAATCTGCAGATGAAATCACTTCCGCTTCGTCTGGTGATGAATTCAGTAACCATGGCGACGTGATTTGTTCTCAGCCGTAACCGTGATCTAATTAGTCTTCTCTATGGCAAAGGGCAGCTGAGGCTCATGGGTAATGTAGTATTTTAAAAGCTGGTGAACGCCTTCTGAGTTCAGTAACGCTGAGAGTCTGATGTGTTACATCACAGTCGGGGGGATGGCGAGAGAATCCAGCTGAACTTCAAGTCCAACAGATGTAAAACCACCTGCTTCACCATCTGTGAGACCCGTTACAGTGAAGACCCTGATACTGGTGGTGTGCAGTACTGCAGTACACACACACATATATATATATATATACACAGAGACTGGGCCTACTTCCTGTGTAAGTCATCCCGTCTCCTTTAAGAGAGAGAGACACAGATTATAAATAGAGAGAGAGAGTGACCTTCAGACAGGACATGGCTGACAGAGGACGAGCGAGCATCACTGCCACAGAGAGAGAGAGAGACATCTAGTAACTGATTGTGTTTACAGATGCCTCATAATATTTATAACACATTTATCTGCACATTTTAAAACAGTCGAATTATAAATATTTTGAGATGAGATCAAAATGTTGTAAAAACATTCAGCAGCCAGGAAACAGACGACGTCATCGATGAGTGTTAATAATCTGTTGATCACTCAATTTATTATTAACGCCTGGCTCTGCAGCCTGCTGGACTGGTGGACACGTGTTATAGACCACTCTAATACGATCAGTGGATCTGCAGGATCTTTATCTATGGTTTATTTCAGTAGGCACAGATTTCAAAGAGGAACTCAAATCTGCAGCAGTGTGTCTGCAACTGAATCAGAGAGGCGGGAATAAAAATATAAAGTTCAGTAAACTCCAGTAGAACACCAGATAAAAGGAGGTAGAATGAGGATGTCTAGACACAATAAAAGACATGTATAACAGGAACTACAGAAGACTTGGCGTGAGAACAGGTTTGGTGCTGAACCAGGACTTGGCCTCTGTGGTAAAGGTGGTGGTTTTCAGGTAGAGGGCTCCAGGACTTTCCTTCCACAGAAAAGGCCGTCTGAGCTGCAGCGCTGTGGCCTCCTGGTGTGTTTACAGAGAGGCTGAGGAACAATTTACAGTTAGCCGAACTTCAGATCTTCCAGGAAGCGGACCTGGCTAGCTTTACAAGGCCTGATTAAAGAGAGTCTGTAGATTTAATCACTAACTGGTTGGTCTGGGACCAGGTACCTTATAGCCAGGCTCGGTTCTGCCATCAGAGGACCAGATGAGCACTGGTTCGGATTTTAGCCTCTCTCTGTTGGACTGAGCCACTCTGTGTCACAGTAATGTCCAGCGTAGACTAAGGGAACAAAGGAATTAGGATCCAGAATGCAGGACTCTCAGATGGATCAGATCCAGTTAGTAGTGTTTAAATAACATATAGAGGCAGGCAGGAGTCAAAGACCAGGTTAGGGGTCCAAACTAAACCCAACAAATCCATTTAGTGGTGTTTAAATAACAGATAGAGGCAGGCAGGAGTCCAAGACCAGGTGAGGGGTCCAAACTAAACCCAACAAACCCAGTTAGTGGTGTTTAAATAACAGATAGAGGCAGGCAGGAGTCCAAGACCAGGTGAGGAGTCCAAACTAAACCCAACAAACCCAGTTAGTGGTGTTTACATAACAGATAGAGGCAGGCAGGAGTCCAAGACCAGGTGAGGGGTCCAAACTAAACCCAACAAACCCAGTTAGTGGTGTTTAAATAACATATAGAGGCAGGCAGGAGTCCAAGACCAGGTTAGGGGTCCAAACTAAACCCAAAAAATCCAACAAATCCAGTTAGTGGTGTTTAAATAACAGATAGAGGCAGGCAGGAGTCCAAGACCAGGTGAGGGGTCCAAACTAAACCCAACAAATCCAGTTAGTGGTGTTTAAATAACAGATAGAGGCAGGCAGGAGTCCAAGACCAGGTGAGGGGTCCAAACTAAACCCAACAAATCCAACAAACCCAGTTAGTGGTGTTCCAATAACATATAGAGGCAGGCAGGAGTCCAAAACCAGGTGAGGGGTCCAAACTAAACCCAACAAATCCAGTTAGTGGTGTTTAAATAACATATAGAGGCAGGCAGGAGTCCAAGACCAGGTGAGGGGTCCAAACTAAACCCAACAAATCCAACAAACCCAGTTAGTGGTGTTTTAAATAACAGATAGAGGCAGGCAGGAGTCCAAGACCAGGTGAGGGGTCCAAACTAAACCCAACAAACCCAGTTAGTGGTGTTTAAATAACAGATAGAGGCAGGCAGGAGTCCAAGACCAGGTGAGGGGTCCAAACTAAACCCAACAAATACAACAAACCCAGTTAGTGGTGTTCCAGTAACATATAGAGGCAGGCAGGAATCAAAAACAGGTGAGGGGTCCAAACTAAACCCAACAAATCCAGTTAGTGGTGTTTAAATAACAGATAGAGGCAGGCAGGAGTCCAAAACCAGGTGAGGGGTCCAATCTAAACCCAACAAATCCAACAAACCCAGTTAGTGGTGTTTAAATAACAGATAGAGGCAGGCAGGAGTCCAAGACCAGGTGAGGAGTCCAAACTAAACCCAACAAATCCAACAAACCCAGTTAGTGGTGTTCCAATAACATGTAGAGGCAGGCAGGAGTCCAAGACCAGGTGAGGGGGTCCAAACTAAACCCAACAAACCCAGTTAGTGGTGTTTAAATTACAGATAGAGGCAGGCAGGAGTCCAAGACCAGGTGAGGGGTCCAAACTAAACCCAACAAACCCAGTTAGTGGTGTTTAAATAACAGATAGAGGCAGGCAGGAGTCCAAGACCAGGTGAGGGGTCCAAACTAAACCCAACAAATACAACAAACCCAGTTAGTGGTGTTCCAATAACATGTAGAGGCAGGCAGGAGTCCAAGACCAGGTGAGGGGTCCAAACTAAACCCAACAAACCCAGTTAGTGGTGTTTAAATTACAGATAGAGGCAGGCAGGAGTCCAAGACAAGGTGAGGGGTCCAAACTAAACCCAACAAACCCAGTTAGTGGTGTTCCAATAACATATAGAGGCAGGCAGGAGTCCAAGACCCAGCTGAGGGGTCCAAACTAAACCCAACAAATCCAACAAACCCAGTTAGTGGTGTTCCAATAACATATAGAGGCAGGCAGGAGTCCAAGACCAGGTGAGGGGTCCAAACTAAACCCAACAAACCCAGTTAGTGGTGTTTAAATAACAGATAGAGGCAGGCAGGAGTCCAAGACCAGGTGAGGGGTCCAAACTAAACCCAACAAATACAACAAACCCAGTTAGTGGTGTTTAAATTACATATAGAGGCAGGCAGGAGTCCAAAACCAGGTGAGGGGTCCAAACTAAACCCAACAAACCCAGTTAGTGGTGTTTAAATAACAGATAGAGGCAGGCAGGAGTCCAAGACCAGGTGAGGGGTCCAAGCTAAACCCAACAAACCCAGTTAGTGGTGTTTAAATAACAGATAGAGGCAGGCAGGAGTCCAAGACCAGGTGAGGGGTCCAAACTAAACCCACAAATACAACAAACCCAGTTAGTGGTGTTTAAATTACAGATAGAGGCAGGCAGGAGTCCAAGACCAGGTGAGGGGTCCAAACTAAACCCAACAAACCCAGTTAGTGGTGTTCCAATAACATGTAGAGGCAGGCAGGAGTCCAAAACCAGGTGAGGGGTCCAAACTAAACCCAACAAACCCAGTTAGTGGTGTTTAAATAACAGATAGAGGCAGGCAGGAGTCCAAAACCAGGTGAGGGGTCCAAACTAAACCCAACAAATCCAGTTAGTGGTGTTTAAATAACAGATAGAGGCAGGCAGGAGTCCAAAACCAGGTGAGGGGTCCAATCTAAACCCAACAAATCCAACAAACCCAGTTAGTGGTGTTTAAATAACAGATAGAGGCAGGCAGGAGTCCAAGACCAGGTGAGGGGTCCAAACTAAACCCAACAAACCCAGTTAGTGGTGTTTAAATAACAGATAGAGGCAGGCAGGAGTCCAAGACCAGGTGAGGGGTCCAAACTAAACCCAACAAACCCAGTTAGTGGTGTTCCAATAACATATAGAGGCAGGCAGGAGTCCAAAACCAGGTGAGGGGTCCAAACTAAACCCAACAAACCCAACAAATCCAGTTAGTGGTGTTTAAATAACAGATAGAGGCAGGCAGGAGTCCAAGACCAGGTGAGGGGTCCAAACTAAACCCAACAAATCCAGTTAGTGGTGTTTAAATAACAGATAGAGGCAGGCAGGAGTCCAAGACCAGGTGAGGGGTCCAAACTAAACCCAACAAACCCAGTTAGTGGTGTTCCAATAACATATAGAGGCAGGCAGGAGTCCAAAACCAGGTGAGGGGTCCAAACTAAACCCAACAAACCCAGTTAGTGGTGTTTAAATAACAGATAGAGGCAGGCAGGAGTCCAAAACCAGGTGAGGGGTCCAAACTAAACCCAACAAATCCAGTTAGTGGTGTTTAAATAACAGATAGAGGCAGGCAGGAGTCCAAAACCAGGTGAGGGGTCCAATCTAAACCCAACAAATCCAACAAACCCAGTTAGTGGTGTTTAAATAACAGATAGAGGCAGGCAGGAGTCCAAGACCAGGTGAGGGGTCCAAACTAAACCCAACAAATACAACAAACCCAGTTAGTGGTGTTCCAATAACATGTAGAGGCAGGCAGGAGTCCAAGACCAGGTGAGGGGTCCAAACTAAACCCAACAAACCCAGTTAGTGGTGTTTAAATAACAGATAGAGGCAGGCAGGAGTCCAAGACCAGGTGAGGGGTCCAAACTAAACCCAACAAATACAACAAACCCAGTTAGTGGTGTTCCAATAACATGTAGAGGCAGGCAGGAGTCCAAGACCAGGTGAGGGGTCCAAACTAAACCCAACAAACCCAGTTAGTGGTGTTCCAATAACATGTAGAGGCAGGCAGGAGTCCAAGACAAGGTGAGGGGTCCAAACTAAACCCAACAAACCCAACAAATCCATTTAGTGGTGTTCCAATAACATATAGAGGCAGGCAGGAGTCCCAAGACCCAGGTGAGGGGTCCAAACTAAACCCAACAAACCCAACAAATCCATTTAGTGGTGTTCCAATAACATATAGAGGCAGGCAGGAGTCCAAGACCCAGCTGAGGGGTCCAAACTAAACCCAACAAATCCAACAAACCCAGTTAGTGGTGTTCCAATAACATATAGAGGCAGGCAGGAGTCCAAGACCAGGTGAGGGGTCCAAACTAAACCCAACAAACCCAGTTAGTGGTGTTTAAATAACAGATAGAGGCAGGCAGGAGTCCAAGACCAGGTGAGGGGTCCAAACTAAACCCAACAAATACAACAAACCCAGTTGGTGGTGTTTGGACCACCAACTGGGGACAGGTGCAAACCATCAGCCCAGGAGAAAGCTATGACAGGAAGGAAAAGTTGAGAAGAGAAATAAGACTGAAACCATAAGACTATGAGAAGGACAGGACCCTGCTCGTATCACATGGGTCAGGTCAACTGTCTGTCCAGGTGAGTGTCAACACCTGGACACAGCAGAACAACAGGCTGATATAAAGTCTGTGTTTCTGCCCACTCAGGCTTTACATAACTACACTCTCATGATGTCATATTTCCCATCATGCACCAGGGCAGTGGCCTTTACGGAGGACACACACACACAGTAAAGTGAAGTGGACGCCATCAGAGAGCAGTGTTTCTGTGTGTGATAATCTGGATTAGGATGAGAGACGAGGTTGATTGGACGGTAATCTGTCCCCACGCACAGAGACGGTGGGGTATTAATGTCCTTATGAGGACCCTCGTCGACATCATCTTATAGGAACAGTACAGCTTTTAATAGATCATCTGTGTGTCTTCACCTCAGGTCACATGACCAGAGTCAGCAGCAGACTCTCTGATCTAAAACAAACCTAGAAGAAGTCTAGTCCATGTAGGAGCTGGGTTTAATCCAGGACCCAGAGTATCTACCTCTGAAGAACCAAACACATGTAGCTGCAGGACCAACACTGAGAGGTTCTCTAAATTAACCTGTCCAGACCCAGGACCCTCCTCAGGTCTCTGTCAGGACGAGGATCAGTTTAATCTCCAGGACACGTTTGATCACATTAACTCTGCAGGAGGATCTTTAACAGGCTCCTCCAGGCTTCTCCAGGTCCCTGGAGTCCTTGAGTAAATTAGCGTAGCATGTAGCATCAGTGATGTTGCTTTACAGCCAATCAGAAGGCAGGATTCTCTGTTGGTTGGTAACATCAAACAGTTTAAAGATATACATAGAAAATAACCAGTAAGATGAGGAGACAGGCAGAAAGCCGGGCAGAGAGATTACTCCCCCCTCCTTTCACTCTGAATGTAGGTCATCAGCAGGGGGCGGGGCTTAACACAAGAGGATTATAAAGATGACATTTAGAGGAGAGGAGGGGAGGAATGGGGGAGGGGAGGGTATGAATATAATAACTCCTCCCTCTGTCTCTCCTCTGTCCCCCCCTCCCCCCCAGGTCTGATCCTGCTCTTCTACCTGGTCTTCTACCTGTTCCTGGCGGGAATGTTTGTTCTCACCATGTACATCATGCTGCTGACACTGGACGACTACAAGCCCACCTGGCAGGACCGGCTGGCCACTCCAGGTGAGGAAAACAAACACACCTGACGTAAACACAAACTCCACCCACTACTGCAGCGACTGAGGCGAAGGGATGACGATTGGGTGTTTAATTAGGCTCAGCCTTTTATTGGTTAACGAGGCTCAGCCTGATTGGTTAACAAGCTGTTTTCATGTTTCAGGGATGATGATTCGTCCGAAGGGCGATCAGCTGGAGATCACCTTCTCTGTGTCAGATACAGAGAGCTGGGACGGCTTCATCCACAACCTGAACACGTTCCTGTCTCGTAAGAAGCTTGTTAATGATTAATTATATCTAATGATGTAACAGATTATAGTTACAGTATCTCACAAAGTGAGTCCACCCCTCACATGTTTATAAATATCTGATTTTATCTTTTCATGTTTCAACACTGAAGAAATGACTGTTTGCTCCAATGTAAAGTAGTGAGCGTACAGTTTGTGTGTGTATATATATATATATATATATATATATGCGTATATATACATATATATGACACCCCTCAGTCAAAATGTCCAAATTGGCCCAAAGTGTCAATATTTTGTGTGGCCACCATTATTTTCCAGCCCTGCCTTAACCCTCTTGGCCATGGAGTTCACCAGAGCTTCACAGAACATCACAGAGCTGGTGGATGTTAGAGACCTTGCGCTCCTCCACCTTCAGTTTGAGGACGCCCCACAGATGCTCAGTAGGGTTCAGGTCTGGAGACATGTTCGGCCAGTCCATCACCTTTACCCTCAGCTTCTTTAGCGAGGCAGCGGTCGTCTTGGAGGTGTGTTTGGGGTCGTTATCATGTTGGAATGCTGCCCTGCGGCCCAGTCTCTGAAGGGAGGGGATCTACTCTGCTTCAGTATGTCACAGTACATGTTGGCATTCATGGTTCCCTCAGTGAGCTGTAGCTCCCCAGTGCCGGCAGCACTCATGCAGCCCCAGACCAGGACACTCCCACCATCATACTGGACTGTAGGCAGGACACACTTGTCTTTGTACTCGTCACGTGGTTGCCGCCATACACGCTTGACACCATCTGAACCAGATAAGTTTATCTTGGTCTCATCAATTCAATTCAATTTCAATTCAATTTTATTTATATAGCGCCAAATCACAACAACAGTTATCTCACAGCGCTTTTCATAAAACAGCAGGTCTAGACCATACTCTGTGATGTTATTTACAGAAGCCCAACAGTTCCCACCAAGAGCAGCACTAAGAGACAGAGGCAAGGAAAAACTTCCTTTAAGAGGCAGAAACCTCGAGCAGAACCAAGAACCAAGAGAGAGAGAGAGAGAGAGAGGGTGGGGGGGGCGAGAGAGAGAGAGAGAGAGAGAGAGAGGGGGGGGGAGAGAGAGAGAGAGGGATGGAAGGAGAGAGAGAGGGAGGCAGCCTACACAGTATATCCACACAGAGGTACAGACAGTAAAGGTGATGTTGCTATAGACTAAATGGTACAGATATTTATAGTAGTGTTAATGGTAACAATCGTAATGTTAATGATTATAATAACAATAATAACAATAAGACTAGCAACAATCGTCGTTGCAGCAGAGGGTGTCGAGCAGGAACACGGGGGCAGCAGGTGACCCGCAACCACAGATCCAGACTCCACAGCTCCAGAGCCAGAAAACCTGCAGGAAGTGATAGGAGGAGAGAGGAGAGGGACGAGAAAGCACAAGACTACCAGAAAGGGGAGAAGTTGTGTTAGTAACATGCAATAATGGGATGAGGTTGCATACAGAGGGAGAGAAAGTAGAGGAGAGAGGAGCTCAGTGCATCATGGGAAATCCCCCGGCAGTCTAGGCCTATAGCAGCATAACTAAGGGATGGTTCAGGACTACCTGAGCCAGCCCTAACTATAAGCTTTATCAAAGAGGAAAGTCTTAAGCCTACTCTTAAATGTGGAGATGGTGTCTGCCTCCTGAACCCAAACTGGAACCTGGTTCCCCAGGAGAGGAGCTTGATAGCTGAACGCTCTGGCTCCTAGTCTACTTTTGGAGACTCTAGGAACCACAGGTGCATTCTGGGAGCGCAGTGCTCTGGAGGGGTAGTAAGGTACTATGAGCTCTTTAAGATAAGATGGTGCCTGACCATTAAGAGCTTTGTAGGTAAGAAGAATGATTTTAAATTCTATTCTGGATTTTACTGGAAGCCAATGCAGAGAAGCTAAAACAGGAGAAATGTGATCTCTTTTCCTGGTTCCTGTCAGAACACGTGCTGCAGCATTCTGGATCAGCTGAAGAGTCTTAATGGACTTTTTCGAGCAGCCTGATTAGACAGGATGTTCCTGATTTTTGCAATCTTACGTAGGTGAAAAAAGGCGGTCCTTGAAATTTGCTTAATGTGAGACTTAAACGACATGTCCTGATCAAAGATAACTGATGAGTTTCATCTGGTTTGATCGATAGATATAACTGAGTATCATCTGCATAACAATGAAAGCTTATGGAATATTTCCTGATAATATTGCCTAAGGGAAGCATATATAAAGTGAAGAGGATTGGTCTGAGGACAGATCCTTGAGGAACTCCATGACTAACTTTGGCATGCATGGAGGACTCATCGTTAACATGTACAAACTGAAATCGATCTGATAAATAGGACTTAAACCAGCTTAGAGCGGTTCCTTTAAAGCCAATGAAATGTTCCAGTCTCTGCAATAGGATCTGATGGTCAATGGTATCAAATGCAGCACTAAGATCTAATAAAACCAGTACAGAGACAAGTCCTTTGTCTGATGCAATAAGGAGGTCGTTAGTAATTTTCACCAGTGCTGTCTCTGTGCTATGATGAGCTCTAAATCCTGACTGAAAATCCTCAAATAAACTATTGCTCTGTAGAAAGTCACACAGCTGTTTAGCAACTGCTTTCTCCAGAACCTTAGAGAGAAATGGAAGGTTAGATATAGGTCTATAGTTGGCTAAAACATCCGGATCAAGTTTGGGCTTTTTCAGAAGAGGTTTAATTACAGCTACTTTAAAGTACTGTGGTACATAGCCTGTTGATAAAGATAGATTGATCATATCTAGTATAGAGGTGCTGACTAAGGGTAAAACATCTTTAAGCAACCTAGTCGGGATGGGGTCTAAGAGACAGGTTGATGGTTTAGATGAAGAATTTATTGAAGTTAGTTGGTAAAGATTGAGGGAAGCAAAACAGTCTAAACATGTATCTGGTTCTACAGCTGTTTCTAAGGTTCCTGAGTTTAGAGATAAGTTGGTGCCAGTTGAGGGCAGGTCATAGTGAATTTTGTCTCTAATAGCTAGAATTTTATCATTGAAGAAGCTCATGAAGTCGTAACTACTGAGAGCTATGGGAATACTTGGCTCAATAGAGCTGTGACTCTCTGTCAGCCTGGCTACAGTGCTGAAAAGAAACCTGGGGTTGTTCCTATTTTCCTCTATTAATGACGAGTAGTACGCTGCTCTGGCATTACGGAGGGCCTTCCTATAAGTTTTAAGACTATCTTGCCAAATTAAACGAGAATTTTCCACTTTGGTGGAACGCCAATTCCTCTCAAGTTTCCGCGATATTTGCTTTAATTTGCGAGTTTCAGTATTATACCATGGAGCTAACCGTCTTTGTTTTAGTATTTTCTTTTTAGAGGGGCTACAGAGTCGAGTGTCATTCGCAGCGAGCCTGCAGCACTATCAACAAGATGATCGATTTGGGAGGGACTGAAACTAGCATAGGAGTCCTCCGTTACTTTGTGACTAGATAATGTATTTAGAGCTAATGGAATCGCATCCTTAAATTTAGCTACAGCTCTTTCAGACAGACATCTTGTATAGAAATTTTTGCCCAATGGCGTGTAGTTCAGCAATACAAACTCAAAAGTTATCAAACAGTGGTCGGATAAAGAGGGATTCTGTGGGAACACCACTAAATGTTCAATTTCAATACCATACACCAAAACAAGGTCGAGGGTGTGGTTAAAACAGTGAGTCGGTTTATGAACACTCTCAGAGAAGCCGATGGAATCTAACAGAGAGATAAACGCAGTACTGAAGCTGTCATTCTCAACGTTCACATGAATATTAAAATCCCCTACAATAATAACTTTGTCCGTTTTAAGGACTAAAGTTGACAAAAACTCTGCAAATTCAGATAAGAATTCAGAATATGGGCCAGGTGCTCGGTACACTATAACGATGAGAATTGGTTGCAGTGATTTCCAACTTGGGTGCGAAAGACTAAGAACAAGACTTTCAAATGAGTTATAGTTTAGTTTAGTTTTAGAGCTGATTAGTAGGCTAGAGTGGAAGATAGCTGCAACTCCACCTCCTCGGCCTGTGCCTCGAGGAATGTGAGTATTAATATGACTGGGAGGGGTGGATTCATTTAGGCTAACATATTCTCCATCACCCAGCCAGGTTTCAGTAAGACAAAATAAATCAATATCATAATCTGATATTAGTTCATTTACTAGTACACCTTTAGAAGAGAGAGATCTGATGTTTAAGAGTCCACATTTAACTCTCCTATTCGTTTGCACTATTGCTCTTGTGGTTTTAATTTTTATGAGGTTTTTATGCACAGCTCCTCTTCTGTTTACCTTTTTAAATAATTTCGATGGTCGGGGGGCAGACACCGTCACTATAGGATTTTCACTAAGTAACTCCTGAAATGGAGGAGCAGAGAAGTGTGTTAGACTGCGACTCTGCCTCCTGGTCTCAACTCTGGATTGTCATGGATTTGGTCCACTAATAAACTTGGCCAGATTTCTAGAAATGAGAGCTGCTCCTTCCCAAGTGGGATGGATGCCGTCTCTCCGGATCAGACCAGGTCTTCCCCAGAAAGTCTGCCAATGATCAACAAAGCCCACATCGTTTGCTGGACACCACCTCGACAACCAGCGGCGGAATGACGACATGCGGCTATACATGTCATCACTGGTCAGATTTGGCAGGGGTCCAGAGAAAACTACGGTGTCCGACATTGTTTCATTGTTTTTGCATATGTACACACCGACTCAACATTAATCTTAGTGACCTCCGATTGGCGTAACCGGGAGTCATTACCGCCGACATGAATAACAATCTTACTGTATTTACGTTTATCCTTAGCCAGCAGTTTCAAATAAGACTCAATGTCGCCCGCTCTGGCCCCAGGGATGCACTTAACTATGGCCGCTGGCTTCGCTAACTTCACGTTTCTCAAAATGGAGCTGCCAATGATCAGAGTTGGTTTCTCAGCGGGTGTGTCGCTGAGTGGGGAAAATCTGTTAGAGACGTGAACAGGTTGATGGTGCCCCGTGGACTTTGAAAGCTTACGACTATTCCTCCTTCGGACAGTCACCCAGCCCCCCCCTTTCCTGGCTGCACAGGAGATGCCGGGGGACGGCTACCAGAGGCTAACTCAGGCCGTTCTGCACCGACTACCGGGGACTGGCTAGCTACAGTAGCTAAAGACTGATCTACCAAGGTGCGGAGCCGGACTTCTAAATCACTGAGCCTCGCCTCCATGTCTATAAATAAACTACACTTATTAAACGTACCATTACCGCTAAAGGAGGCAGAGGAGTAACTGAACATCTGACACACCGAGCGGGAGAAAGTAGGAGAGAGAGAGGGAGAAGGAGAATCCATCGCTAGCTGCTAAGCTAAAGTCGCTAATGGCTAAGCTAAAGTACTGTAGCGTCAGCTACCAAAACTTTAGAACAACTATGAGATTGAACAGCAGTCACTAAAAGATGGAAAGAACTGTGAGTGCTTAGGCAAAATTACTGTAAAGAACAAGTGTTTAGTGGACAGTTTGCCGCTGTAATCTAACAAATGTAACTGTTATTTAGCGAGAGCAGCACAACGTGGTACCAACACACAAGCACCGGAAACAGAAATGAGTCGACACGCTTACCGCAATACGTCATCAGACCACAAGACATGGCTCCAGTAATCCACGTCCTTAGTCTGCTGGTCTGTTTGGGGGCTTTCTTGTGCATCATCTTTAGAAGAGGCTTCATTATGGGACAACAGCCATGGCAATCTTCTTATAGCCTAGGCCATCTTTATGTAGAGAAACCATTCTTTGTTTCAGATCCTCAGAGAGTTCTTTGTCATGAGGTGCCATGTTGAACTTCCAGTGAGTGTAACACTAACGACTCACAGGACAGTGGGGAGGGAAAATGGCTGGTTGGGCCCAATTTGGACATTTTCACTTAAGGGTGTCCTCACTTTTGTTGCCAGCGCTTTAGACATTAATGGCTGTGTGATGTGTTACTTTGAGGGGACAGCAAATTTACACTGTTATACAAGCTGCACGCTCACTACTTTACACTGTTACACAAGCTGCACGCTCACTACTTTACATTGTTACACAAGCTGCACGCTCACTACTTTACACTGTTACACAAGCTGCACGCTCACTACTTTACACTGTTACACAAGCTGCACGCGCTGCACGCTCACTACTTTACACTGTTACACAAGCTGCACGCTCACTACTTTACGCTGTTATACAAGCTGCACGCTCACTACTTTACGCTGTTATACAAGCTGCACGCTCACTACTTTACGCTGTTATACAAGCTGCACGCTCACTACTTTACGCTGTTATACGCTCACTACTTTACACTGTTACACAAGGTGCACGCTCACTACTTTACATTGTGATACAAGCTGTACTACTTTACACTGTTATACAAGCTGTACTACTTTACACTGTTACACAAGCTGCACGCTCACTACTTTACGCTGTTACACAAGCTGCACGCTCACTACTTTACACTGTTATACGCTCACTACTTCACGCTGTTACACAAGCTGCACGCTCACTACTTTACACTGTTATACGCTCACTACTTCACGCTGTTACACAAGTTGCACACTCACTACATTACGCTGTTACACAAGCTGCACGCTCACTACTTTACACTGTTATACGCTCACTACTTCACGCTGTTACACAAGTTGCACACTCACTACATTACGCTGTTACACAAGCTGCACACTCACTACTTTACACTGTTATACAAGCTGGACACTCACTACTTTACACTGTTATACAAGCTGTACGCTCACTACTTTACATTGTTATACAAGCTGTACTACTTTACATTGTTATACAAGCTGTACTACTTTACATTGTGATACAAGCTGTACTACTTTACACTGTTATACGCTCACTACTTCACGCTGTTACACAAGCTGCACGCTCACTACTTTACACTGTTACACAAGCTGCACGCTCACTACTTTACACTGTTACACAAGCTGCACGCTCACTACTTTACACTGTTACACAAGCTGCACGCTCACTACTTTACACTGTTATACGCTCACTACTTTACATTGTTACACAAGCTGCACGCTCACTACTTTACACTGTTATACGCTCACTACTTTACACTGTTACACAAGCTGCACGCTCACTACTTTACACTGTTACACAAGCTGCACGCTCACTACTTTACACTGTTATACGCTCACTACTTTACACTGTTACACAAGCTGCACGCTCACTACTTTACACTGTTATACGCTCACTACTTTACACTGTTACACAAGCTGCACGCTCACTACTTTACACTGTTACACAAGCTGCACGCTCACTACTTTACACTGTTATACAAGCTGTACGCTGACTACTTTACACTGTTACACAAGCTGCACGCTCACTACTTTACACTGTTATACAAGCTGCACGCTCACTACTTTACACTGTTACACAAGCTGCACGCTCACTACTTTACACTGTTACACAAGCTGCACGCTCACTACTTTACACTGTTACACAAGCTGCACGCTCACTACTTTACACTGTTATACAAGCTGCACGCTCACTACTTTACACAGTTAGACAGAATCAGATATTTACAGAAATATGAGGGCTGTACTCTCTACTTAGATCAAATGAAATTATGTCTGAAATGAAAACAGTCTGGTGTCTGTTTAAAATAAAATCATCTGTTTGAACATCCTGATCTACGTCACTCATGTTTGATATTAAATACCTGCCTGTCTCTTTACCTGTCTGTCTCTCTGTCTGTCTGCAGCGTATAATGACAGCTATCAGGTTCAGACCAATGATAACTGCCCTCCAGATCAATACTTCATTCAAGAGGACAGTGGAGAGGTGAATTGTCTCTCCCTCTACCTGCCTGTCTCTCCCTCTACCTGTCTGTCTCTCTGCCTGTCTCTCCCTCTACCTGTCTGTCTCTCTGTCTGTCTCACCCTCTACCTGTCTCTCTCTGTCTGTCTCACCCTCTACCTGTCTCTGTCTGTCTCACCCTCTACTTGTCTCTCTGTGTCTGTCTCACCCTCTACCTGTCTCTCTCTGTCTGTCTCACCCTCTACCTGTCTCTCTCACCCTCTATCTGTCTCTCTCACCCTCTATCTGTCTTACCCTCTACCTGCCTGTTTCACCCTCTACCTGTCTGTCTCACCCTCTACCTGTCTCTGTCTGTCTCTCCCTCTATCTGTCTCTCTCTCTGCCTGTCTTACCCTCTACCTGCCTGTCTCACCCTCTACATGTCTGTCTGTCTGCATTTCTAACCCTCTACCTGTCTGTCTCTCTACCTGTTTCACCCTCTACCCGCCTGTCTCTCCCTCTATCTGTCTCTCTCTCTGCCTGTCTTACCCTCTACCTGCCTGTCTCACCCTCTACATGTCTGTCTGTCTGCATTTCTAACCCTCTACCTGTCTGTCTCTCTACCTGTCTCACCCTCTACCCGCCTGTTTCACCCTCTACCCGCCTGTCTCTCTCAGGTCAGGAACAACCCCAAGCGTTCCTGTCAGTTCAATCGGACCATGTTGGAGGAGTGTTCTGGGATTTCGGATCGTTTCTATGGTTACAACAGAGGTCAGCCCTGCATCCTCATCAAAATGAACCGGGTACGTTGACCTCTGACCCCGATCCAAACAGCAGAGTGACCAAAGTGAGGTTGTAGTGTCTGTTGGTTACTGTAGTAACTACATCCACGGGAACACTGAAGTGGCGCATCACGTGACACGATGACGCAACATTAGGTTCAGCTGCTAGAACCAAACGAGCACACCGGCCCTGCTCTGCTGACCCGTCTCTCTGCCTGTCTCCCTCTCCAGGTCATTGGTATGTTGCCGGGGAAGGACGGTCAGTCTCCTTATGTCACCTGTGGAGCCAAGGTCTGAATTTGTCTGTCTGTCTCACTGTCTGTCACACCATCTGTCTCCGTCTCACGTGTTGTCTCCACCTTTTCACCCTCCATCTCCAGAGGTACAAAGTGGAGAGAGACGAGTGGGTAAGAACAGCAGAGCCCTTAACGTTCTGACCAAGCTTTCTGAGCCCGGCTCCTTATCTGCAGAGTAAAGAAACAGTAGTGTTAGAGCGTAGAACCACAGTGTTAGAACGTTTCAACAGAGGCTCTCGTGATGTTCTCCTGACTGTCAGTTCATTAAGTGTCTGTATGAAGTTATTGATCTGTATCTGTGTGTGCAGAGGGAGGACACCGATAAGGTCGGACCTCTGGCGTATTATCCTCCCAACGGGACCTTCAACCTCATGTACTACCCGTACTACGGCAAGAAAGCTCAGGTAACACTCTGGACACACATTCAGTCCCTTCAGTTCATCACCTAGTGGCATTTAGAGAATCAAAGTTCTTCGATGTTGTCAGTGTCTATAACAGATCCAGTTTCTGGAAGATCTACCGAACCTCCATGAGTTCAGTATGTAGATCCATTAGACCCATTACATGTTAGCTGATCCACGTTAGCTGATTTATGTATCTATCAGATCTACATTGGTGGACCCAGGTTAGTATTTTCAAACATGCAGTTCCATTAGGTACTCTGATTCAGCAGGTTAGCAGATCCAACAGATCCTTATTAGTGGGTCCAATAGATCCATGGAAGTAGATCAAACAGATCCGTGTTAGTAGATCCAATAGATCAAATTCAGTAGATCCATGTCAGTAGAGCTTTCAGTGTGTTACTGACAGTCTGTACATCCTTTAGTAGATCCATGTCATGGTCCAAGTCAGTAGATTGTTGTGTAGTAGGGGTGTGACGAGACACTTCCCTCCTCTCTGTGTCTTTGTTTGAGGAAGTAACCTCTTTAAATGCGACTGTGGCTCCTTTTCACCTCAATGAGAAATTAATTCATTTTAATTTAGTTATAAGCTCCTGGACTTTAGTAGCTCCAGTGTTTCAGCAGATTTTCTGCTCATTCAGAATCTCTCCCACAGATCTGTGTTCTCTGATGTGTTGAGAGAAAATAAATCTAACTGTCCTTTACTCTGCGGTGCGTTACGTTATTGATCCGCTGGTAGTAACGTTATCCTTTCAGACCGCTTGTGGGACTGCACGCTGCATGTGAAACTGAAACTAACTGAAACACTTGTGATCGGGCAGAAATCTCACCACAGATCCACACAGGTTAACTTCAGCAGCTCAGATAAAGTGCAGCTCACAGAGCAGGCTGGCTTCAGTTTTTATTTATTCATGGCACGAGATCTCGTCACACCCCTAGTGTGAAGCTGTGTTGGTAGAGGAGCCAGTGGATCTACTGTATCCATGGTGATGATACCTCATTATTATACTGGTGAGGCCATAGGTGCTTCAGTGATGTCATGTTATTCAGTGTGTGATGTGTTCACTGTCTCAGGTGAACTACACTCAGCCGCTGGTGGCCGTGAAGTTCCTGAACGCCTCCCTGAACACCGACATCAACATCGAGTGTAAAATCAACTCCAACACGCTCACCGAGGGCAGCGAGAGAGACAAGTTCGCCGGACGGGTTTCCTTCAAGCTACGGATCAACGACAAATAGACGCCCTGCAACACACACAACACACACACACACACACACGTTACAGCTGCACCGATCCAGATGTTTAAATGTCCTCGTCCATTAGAGCCTCAAACGCACCACTTGTGTTGCTACGTAGAACCGTTTGTATTCTAGCTCCATGATGCGTTCAATGACCGTCTGAATTATCCGTCACCTTTAGTTACAGCCTGCCCACAGTAGTCCCGTTTTGTTTTGTATGCTCTCCGATGTGATCCTCCGTACAACGGCCTGACTCCAGCTTTAACACACTGGCCCTGAGACCGACCAATCAGCTCGCACACACGCTCTGATGTCACAGAGGACGCAGTGAAGAACAACAGGAGGACCTTCACCTCAGTCATCACGTCAGTCTGCCCGGATCAAAGATCAGATTACTGATCGCACAGCTGACGTGTTTATTTATTCATGTATTTATTTCTTATTTATTTATTGGGTTTACTGATGATGACTTTGTTTTTATATCATTATGAATTATTTATGTGAGGTTACCTTCTGATTGGTTTCTGTAACTGCAACATCAGGCACGATTGGCTGTTCAGAAACTGTTGCAGGTTCCCACACATCCTGGGGAACCTGGTTTTATCACTCAGTGCAGAAACTAAATTACAGAAACAAGTTCTCCCTCCCCAGGAGTTTGTAACCTGGGCGTCATGCTGGAAACATTCCCAGACTCCGGCCCTCACTCTCTGACTCTGTGGCTGAGACTCTTTAATTACTGCAGCGTTGTCCTGTTCGGTCTGCCCTGTGAGGCGCTCGACATGGCTCCAGGATGCCCAGAACTCAGCTGCTGGAGTTTTAACATGTATAAAGTCCTGACAGCACATCACCCCCACCCTAATGCAGCTTCACTGGCTGCCAGTCAGGTCCCACACCGCTTACAAAATCCTGCTCCTCTTACATCACATTTACTCATTTGGCAGACTGTAAGTCCCGCCACGGACCTGCACAACTTTAATTTTCACATCCTATCACGGTGTCTGCAGTCCTCTTAAAAGTTTAAAAAGTATCTTCAAGCACACCTCTTCATTGATGCATGTAGGCCCTAAACACAGCTCCAGACATAACATAACAGGAACCAGTTCAGAAACCAGATCCAGCATCAGATCCTACAACTGTTCAGAAACCAGAACAGAAATCATATCATAAATAGTTCCGAAACCAGTTGAGCTGCTACAACTGAAACAGCTCACTTTACTGAAGATGTGAGGAATCAGAACAGCAATATCAGAAACCAGAAAACAAACCAGGTGAGACATCAGATCTTAAACCCGTTCAGAAAGTAGTTAGAAATGTAAACCCAATTGGAAACTAGTCCAGAACTGACAAAAAAGCTTAGTTTACTAAAGATGCGAGGAATCAGAACATAAATATCAGAAACCAGTTCAGACATCAGATTATAAACCAGTTCACAAAACCAGTTCAGATCTTAGATCAGATTCAGACATCAGATCTTAGATCAGATTCAGACATCAGATCTTAAACCAGTTCACAAAATCAGATCAGATTCAGACATCCGATCTTAGATCAGATTCAGACATCCGATCTTAGATCAGATTCAGACATCCGATCTTAAACCAGTTCACAAAACCAGTTCAGACATCAGATCTTAAACCCGTTCAGAAAGTAGTTACAGAAATGTAAAACCAATTGGAAACTAGTCCAGAACTGACAAAAAAGCTTAGTTTACTAAAGATGAGAGGAATCAGAACATAAATATCAGAAACCAGTTCAGACATCAGATCTTAAACCAGTTCAGACATCAGATCAGATCTTAAACCAGTTCAGACATCAGATTCAGAAATCAGATCTTAAACCAGTTCAGACATCAGATTCAGAAATCAGATCTTAAACCAGTTCAGACATCAGATTCAGAAATCAGATCTTAAACCAGTTCAGACATCAGATCAGATCTTAAACCAGTTCAGACATCAGATCAGATCTTAAACCAGTTCAGACATTAGATCAGATCTTAAACCAGTTCAGACATCAGATCAGATCTTAAACCAGATCAGACATCAGATTCAGAAATCAGATCTTAAACCAGTTCAGACATCAGATTCAGAAATCAGATCTTAAACCAGTTCAGACATCAGATCAGATCTTAAACCAGTTCAGACATCAGATCAGATCTTAAACCAGTTCAGACATCAGATTCAGAAATCAGATCTTAAACCAGTTCAGACATCAGATTCAGAAATCAGATCTTAAACCAGTTCAGACATCAGATCTTAAACCAGTTCAGACATCAGATTCAGAAATCAGATCTTAAACCAGTTCACAAACCAGTTCAAACATCAGATCCTAGATCAGATTTAGACATCAGATCTTAAACCACTTCAGATCTTAAACCAGTTCAGACATCAGATCTTAAACCAGTTCACAAAACCAGTTCAGATATCAGATCAGATTCAGACATCAGATCTTAGATCAGATTCAGACTTCAGATCTGAGATCAGATTCAGACTTCAGATCTGAGATCTGATCAGATTCAGACTTCAGATTTTAGATCAGATTCAGACTTCAGATCTTAGATCAGATTTAGACATCAGATCTTAAACCAGTTCAGATATCAGATCAGATTCAGACATCAGATCTTAAACCAGTTCAGAAACATCATAAATAGTTCTGAAACCAGTTTGAAAACAGCAATCAGTTGAGACATGAGACCAGAAACCAGTTCAGGAACCGGTCTGTCAGCCATGTTAAACCTCGCTCTCCTTGTTTGTTGCCGTGGAAGCAGCTGAATCCACAGCCAATCAGATGCTAGCTTTAGTGACCACAGCGACAGCGTTTGGTTTCGTATCTTTTGTGTTTGTTGCCGCAGCAGAACGGCTCGTTAGTTAGATCATTAGTTTAGGTAACGAGTTAGCAAGTCGTTAAGTTTTTTGTTCACTGTTGATTTGTTTACGTGTTTGTTTTGTTTACTATCGTCATCATGGGGGTGAGCATGACAAACGTTACCATGACAACCAGGCCATGTGACACACACACACTCTCTCCTCACCTGTCAATCACTCTGTCGTGCCACGTGCAAACGCCCCTCCCCTCCTGTACTGCTCTCCACCAATCGTCTTCCTTTAAAGAAAGACCAGCCAATCAGGTGGTCCTGCTGTATGATGTCATATGATGCTTGTTTGTGATTGGTGGATTTCCCCTGCCTGAAAATGTCCTTGTGTTTCACAGACATTTAAAAATACAGAGAAATTAAACAGAAAAACTACAGAAACGTCTCGTGTGATTGATGTTTTCTGTCAGAGGATGCACTCCATGCTCCAGATGTTCTTCATTTACTTTAACAAAATGTATGGTTACAGTAAAATAATGTGTTACAGGAGTGTGACACATCATGCAGCTGTTCATTTATTGACATTCCTCTCCTTTAGTGAACAATAATAAGAACATATGGTTTTACTGAATAATAAAGTAATTATAATGTCTTAGTATATATCTAAATAAACCTCATTTCTCATATTAATATATATAAACGTCCCTTTTTCAGGACACTGTTTTTCAAAGATAATTCTATAAACATCCAAATGACTTTACAGAACTTTATTGTAAAGGTTGTAAACAATGTTTATCATGCTTTTTCAATGAACCAAAAACAATCAATGATCATGCACCTGTGGAACGGTCGTTCAGACACTAACAGCGTACAGTTTGTTCATTAGGGCGATCGGGCGATCAAACCAGGAGAGGCAGGGGATTTTCCTCACATTTTCTACCACACTGTTAGGTTGCTGTCTCTGAATATCGTTGTCAATCAGCATAAAGTCGTGTTCCACGGAGTCCTGCCCATTTGGGGAGATTTCAGTCTCACTTGCGTCTTTTCCAAGCCAGGAGAGAAGGAAGGACAAAATATGTTTTTAGAGACATGAGACGTCCTTTCCTCCGGAGCGTCACCTGAAGCGATGTCCGTTTCTGATGGCCGCAGCAGCTGATCACAGCTGGATCAGCTGTCAGTCGGCTCTAAGAGCTGGAGAGACTTTTGATGGGAGTTTGTGTCTGCACACTTGTGCACTGTGTTGGTAACACAGTGTAGTAAAATCTCACAGTGCAGAGCAGCAGTATCATCTCTGTAGCAGTTACCTGTTTAACAAACACCTGCACATGAAGAATTACAGGTATGTCCTACTCACAGGATCATTTCTACTGGCACAATGCTGATATTATCTGCTTGTATTTATTGATTCTGATTGTGAATTTGTTGTTGAATAACCCAGAATATGATCATGGGGTCTTTGGATTTATTAGACTAAATGTTTCAGGGAAATTGAAATGATGGAACTCATATCTAAGTCTGCTTTAGCTCAGTTTTAGGCTTTCACTTTATTTCCTCTTCTGATATGTTTTAACACTACTGCATACATTTTATTTGCAAGTCACATAACTCGTCACCGATCGATCACTGCGTTCCATCATATCAATCCAACACAGCAGCTTTCATTCATTCTTTCATCAGCTGATTTTACTCACGGAGCGGCCGGCTGCTTCCATCAGATGCAGTCGGTGAGATGGCTGGATGTGCAGGCTTTATTTTCCTTTGCTTGCTTCATTAGAGACTTTGTGCAGTTTAGTGGTTGACTCCTTAGGCGACATGTTTTCTATGTTTTATTGTCGTCTATTTGGACCGAATACAGGAATGGAGCAGCATCACATGTGACTGAATAGAAATGACGATAAACAATGCAAAACATGTTTCTTGCTGACAGACTGACTTTAATTTTCTCCATAATAAAAGTTGATGGGATAAATAAAAGAAAATGCATATTTCTAATGAATAAAGAGTTTGTTATTCAGACCTACAATGAGATTTTAACCAGTGATGCACCTGAGTTTAATGCGTTATCTGTCCTGATGTATCAGATCAGTCCGATCAGCTGCAGCGTCCAATCAATATAATGGCTACCCAGTAAGGGGGCGTGTCTTTCAGTAAAAGACTGAAATGCTCGCTCATAGCTCCTCAGAGATCGCTCCTCGGAGTGCAAACAGTTGTGGGGTGCCTGTGTTACAACTACCCTCCAATTTTAACTGCACCTTAGTTACCACACACCTTATCTTTATTCCACCATATAACACTTCACAATCCATGACATGCATCCAACACAAAACAATACATTTACAGAGCCAGGCAGAAGGGTTGAAGGAGTGGGGGGGATTCTCATTGGCCTCGTGTCCTGCCCCTGGTGCTATGGGGTTGGTGCACTGGCGGCCTTGCCTGATGGGCTGGGGAGGTCGGGGCTCCCATGGCGTGGGGGCCCGCTCTTGGCCTAGGGATCTGGGGACTCGGGCTTGTAGCTTTAGCTCATTTCTGGGCAGGTGGTGTGTCCCTGGGCCCGGGGGCCCGTTGTCTCCTCTCCTCGCCTGGGCCCTCTTCGGCAGGGGTGGGGCTCCCGCTGCTTCCCCCTGCCAGCTCTCTCACAGTGGGGGCATTCGGGAGTCTCTGGGGCGCATGGCCGGTGTTTGGATGTCTGCGGTGGGATTGTGGGGCGATTGTCGATGCATCTTGATGCATTGTGCTTTTTGAGGTATATGTGCAGTGTGGGTGCGGGGAAGGGCTGTGCTCCGGTTTGTTCTGGGCTTGTGCCTCGAGTTCTCGGCCCCTGACTGGTGGGCAGGTTGTTGGTGGCATGCAGCTGAGCTGGTTGATTTTGCCTCGTTACTGGTTTGGCTGGTGTTGCACGGCAGTCGGGGGGCGTGCTAGGGATGGGGGATGTTGGCGGCCTTAGTTTTTTCCGGCGCTTGGGGTGACGGCGGACTTTTATTGGCGGGTGCACGGTGATCTGTGCGGCGCGTTTGCTGCCGGGCTGGGACTTGCTGCTTGTGTTTCTCTCCGCTGGCTTTCGCTGTCGTGTTATTCCGCTTGCTCTCTCTCGTTTGCACACGGGATTTGCAAGGGGCTGCTGGGCCTTGGGTGTCGCCGTACTCGCGCAGTGTGCACGTTGGGTTCGTCACTTGTGCATTGGTGTTGATGATTGCGTGGCATTTTGGTCGGTCCGGGCACTGCTCTTCCGCGGGTTCCGCTTCTTGTGTTCCGTTGGCATTACGTTGTCAACTGGCATTTGGGTCGGGGTCTTCCGCGTTTGCATCGCGGTGCATCTGGGAGTCTTTGGTATCATTTTCTTTCACCCACCCCTATTGGCTACTGGGGTTCTTGCCTGCCTGTTGCTGGGGTAGGTGTGGCACAGTCGTGGCGTCCCACTCTCACTAACAACTACATTCTTTAAACAGGCTTATGCGCACACACATGTACACACACATATTCACCCACATGCACACAGACACAAACAAACTTAGGTTGTCCCTGGTAGAATTATTCCTGATGCCTTTCTTTCAGTTACTTATTTAAATAAATTATTATTCCAGCTCTCGTGGCTGTGCTGTGTTGCTTACTTAGTGTGTGTGACTGTTTCTTGTTTTCATTTTTCTCTTAGTTGTCTTACTATGTCAGCTGTTTATTGCTGCTGTTTGGCTGGTTGTCTTTTACTATTATTTTTGTTTGTTGTTGTTTTTCTCCTCCTCAAGCCCCCCTCTCTGTTCTATGGCAGGTTTCGTTGCTTTCTGCAATTGGTGTTTCCCACAGCTTTTCCCTGTTGTCCCCACCTTCCATCCCCCTTCTCTTACATGTCTTATCCTTTCTCTGTGCTGCCTGTTTGTGCCCCCCTGTCCGGCCCGGTGACAAATCAATACTTAATTAAATAAATAACAAAACAGACAAAGGAGTATATTAATACTCTTGTTAAAATAAAATCTGTCTGGCACAATATGTTATCCAGGTCATTATACTGTATACCAGGCTGCTGGGTAGGACAGGTTTAAAAAAAAAAAAGAAAAAAGAAAAAAGGATCAAGAAATAAATCGGTTAATAGAGTTGCAAGCCAAATTACATGATCTTTACCTTGTCAGAGCTCATGGTGCATTGATCATTTCACACGCTAAATTGATTGGGGCAGGTGAAAAACCTCAGGTCAGACAACAGAGGAATTCAATTGTAAGCTTGATGATAAATGGAGGTTTACTCATTTTATTCCAGGTTATACTCCTCAGATTACTCCTTGATAGGAGCTGATACCTTATTTGAGAAAATCAGGAACACTATCCCTCATATCGAAGACTCCTTTCAGCAGCTTTGTGAGTCTGAACTCAGAATTGAGGAACTGGATTTAGCGATTTTGAAGATGGCTATAAACAAATCCCCTGGGATGATGGGATGGACTTACAGCTAGAGGTCGACCGATATGTTTTTTTTCACGCCGATGCCGATACCGATCTTTTGAAATCCGGGTCGGCCGATGGCCGATTAATGCTGCCGATTTATTTTGGCCGATATTTGGTCGATATTTGCTTGGTTTTTAACCTCTATTTGCACCGAACTGAAGCACAGAAATCCGCGTTGATATTCGGTGCGGTAGATAACGGTCGTTAAGGTTCCAGTGCCGTATTAGCACCGGGTCTGTCTGTAGCTACCCGTTAGCAAAGCAAAGCCAGTCTGTCACTAGCCTATAGTGCGTTGGTCTCTTTTTTATTACTTATTTCTCTGCATTGAGTGACAACCCTCTCAAATATAAGACACACAAACAGAACAAATAAAAGTCTGATTCACTCTGTAGTTGCAAAATTATTGCTTACTTATTGTGACATGATAGCAACTCTTCTGTGATAATGCAACTTCAACTACGATCCAAATTAGCCGAATGTCATGTGTCTTATTCAGGTTTTTTCTCTAAGTTGGCAGTAACATATCAAAAGTTTTTAATTAAATATAAAGGAGTAATAAGAATTGAATCCTTACAGTTAGCTCCTTAGGCACTGGATGAGGTCTGCTGCTCACTCGGCTGGAAAATGACTCTAGCGGCAGCGCGCGTCAAACACGTGTTCCACGACAACACTAGGCTGCCCACAGATGCGCCTGCCTAATAATCGGCTTGATATACTTGGATATTGGCCGATGCCGATTATGTTAAAAAATGCCACAAATATTTGAAGGAAAGAACAGTGTGGGCTTTTGGGCAGGACTAGCTTGTGATTGACAGGTTGCTACCATGGCAACCTTTACAACAGGGTTTGGTTAACCTTTTAATTTTTCATAATTTTAATTACATTTGATTACATTTTAGTTTAGTTTTTTAATATCCAGGATGTATTTAATAACTGATTAAACATGTTAACAATATAACAACTTATGAGTCTTTGGTTTTGTTTTAACACTGATATATATATAA